TGCCGGTGGCTCGGATGAGTTGGAAGAGCTTCCGGTAGTTACCAGATGCAGCTGCTGCTTCTAGCTCATTAGCACGCTTCGACCACCAGGCTTCTCGGTCCTTACGCAAGCTTTGCCCAATTTCCTTACGTAACATCCTTCGTTTATGGTCAAACTAACGGTCACCCGGAGTAGACCGACGGGCTTCAATGAGTTGTAAGGAACCAGAAGAAACCCAGTGCTTAAAAGCGGGACGTTTCGCAAACCCAAAACTGACTGTTCCCAACATTTTCATGGCGTCATACAATTGAAACCAATGCTCATCTATACTCTTCGGTGGAATGGTAGCTAGCTTAGAGACTAGCTCGGTTCGATACTTATTTGCAACAGAAGTTGCAACCAGCTTGCTAATATCAATCCGTTGATGGTGGTCATTTCGTTGGCCACTGAAAAGTAAGGCGAGATTGGCGCAGACCAAGGCATGGTCAGAGTCCAGATACGTACTCCAAAAGGAGCAGCAGTCTTGTACACAACCACGTCAGCGGTAGCTGATCGCGATGTGATCAATCTGAATCCAGGCTTAAGAATCAGAGAGAAGACGCCAGGTGGCACATCGGCGATGAATGTGCCAGAAGTTAGTGTCAGCCAGAAACAGGTTGTGGTCTGAGCACGGTGGCAGTAGACGGTCATCATTATCTGACTTGCGATCAACAAGTCCCTATCGGCCACCTAAACGACTCTCTTCTGTGCCTAGACGCCCGACCTGAACATTCAAGTCTCCGGCTAGTACCAAAATATCTGTCGAACGCACTTTCTGGAGAAGAACAGTTAATTGATGGTAGAATTCATCCTTGATTGCATCCGGGCTGCAATCTGTCGGGGCATAGGCGGAGATGACGAAAAGACATCGTTTTTCACACCTATTTCTTCTCACTTTAATGGAACTTCCTAATCTAACAGCACATAACCGACTGTTAATTGGGATCCAATCGACTAGTGCTGCCTCAGCTCTAGCGCTTAGTGCGACACCAACGCCAGCAAGACCAGACGAAGATGCCACAGGGTCCCCGGATAAGCGCACGTAAAACAAGCTTTTCGAAGCGACAGATGGAGATCGAATTCGTAGTACTTCGCCAGAGTCTTGAATACGGGTCTCGGATAGACAACAAACATCAATATTAAGACTTTCCAAAGACATAGCCAGCCCTATCTGTTGTCCGACCTGCATAAGTGTGCGAACGTTGAAGGCAGCCTGTTTGAATGGTGCACGTGGTTTCAGAAAAACTGCTTCAGTTCTCGTATTCGGTGGTAACATACAATTTTCAACCGGACAGTGACTCGAGAACGTTTAGATACAGTCGAATTTCCACCAAAGACGAGCCGCTGTATAAGTATAAAAGAGGATGAATAATGTGGAAAATAATAATAATAATAATGACAATAATAGTAATAATAATAACAGTATTAATAATGACAATAATTGTAATGATAATAATTTGAATCAATTGGTTGTTTTTCGAAGAGAGAAAAGTAATTTCCATAGACATAAAGAGTTCATCATTTGTGTGTGGGCTGTGATACTGCCCGGGTGCCCAAACCGAAGCAGGTGGTTATCCTAGGGGGCTACTCCCCGAGCCTTTGACCTAAAGGTCTAACCCACAAGGCAGTGGAGCATCGTAAGGAGATGCAATCCCATGGTAGCCGGTGACCAACGATTGGTTCATACACCATTTGTTCCATCAGGATACTGGAGCCCATGTGCACCATCAGTTTGGGATCCGGTTAAAGCGCCGGACATTCGCTTTTCGTCCTCTCATTTTCGTAAACAACACCCCCGCCACGAGAAGGCAATGAGTAGGACTTCCCTGGCAGAGGCTGTATACGCGCGGCCGTATGAGAGTATTTCGAGAGGGAGAGCGGACTCTCCCCATTCTCGGCCGTACCAGGGCATTCGGGGGCCCTGGCCCTCTTAGAAAACCACCTGCTTCGGTCTAGACACCCGAACAGTAACACAACCAACACAAAAATCAAATGAAATTTTGTGTGTGGTGCATATATACTTGGTGCCCCTTTGTACCAATATTTATGTGTTCAAATTATAATAAAAACACCTCATCAGTCGCTTTAACATGTTTACCTAGTACTCTATTGCTAACCCAAGCATTGCTTACTCCATGGTCCCAAAATACACAAGCGATGTTTCGCAGATACCTATAATCATATACCTGCAACCACCAAATATCCTTAACTATTAATGCCCGTTCCACATTTATAAAGTAGAAGTGAGCGAACTGCTGTGCAGCAAACTCACTTTTTCGTCAGAAGACGAATATCTCGCCTACTCAACAAGTGATGCAAGTTGGCAAAAGCTAATCGAGCCTTCTGGATACACATATCATTTCCTACATTGACTTTGATTGCCAGAATAAGTTTTGGGTGGATTTTGCGAACAAGAAAATGATTTTTATAGAGTATTAAAATCAACTGGAGAACCACTGGAAATCAAGGATTATTATGCTTGATATGCTTTTACACATTATTGATTACTGATCCTCAATATCATGTATATCAAATACATTTTAGTACTGACTAATGGTCAAATTGTGACTTGATCCATAGAATTCGATCAACACTAAGAAGGATTTGACATACATAACATTGATTAGTATTCAGTGATCAATTAGTTATAAATACAGATTAGTTCTACAGGAGATCAGTAGACGTTCGAATAGACCAGCGTCCGCGTCTTTCATTGTGAATGTGAGTCACAGGTGTTGAATCCACCTGGAAGCACCAGTTTCTTTAAACATACAGGTAAACCTCATTGAAGAGTCCCGAAAAGCATGGAATCTGAGTCCATGGTTTCCTATTGGCTATCTTCAACCACCGTTGCATACGATTCCTTTTCGTTTAAAATATCTATTGGGCACTAATGACTTAAAACTGAATAGAAAATAACGGACCTTGATGTATTACAATAAACATGAGTCCAGTATTTCACAACCTAAGCTTTAAATAGTTCATGCAGTAGGGCGATCCTCACAGAAGGTCAACTAAGTAGTAAGTTCCCCAAATGCCCTAGTGCGGCCGAGAGTGAGGAGAGTCCACCAACTCTCTCGAAATGCTCTCACATGGCCACGCGTATATAGCCTCTGCCAGGGAAGTCCTACTCACCACCTCGTGGCGGGGGTGTTGTTTGCGAAATTGAGAGGACCAAAATAGAATGTACAGCGCTTTAACCGGGCTGGTGGACACGGAGAGTCCACCCAGGGGAGTTAGAAAACCCTGATTCCAAACCAATGATGCACATGGGTTTCAGTACCCCGAAGGAACAAATGGTGTATGAACCAATCGTTGGTCACCGGCTACCATGGGACTGCATCTCCTTACGTTGCTCCACTGCCTTGTGGATCAGACCTTCAGGTCGAAGGCTCGGGGAGTGACCCTCTAAGAAAACCACCTGCTTTGGTTTGGGCACCCGGACAGTATCATAGCCCTCACACAAATCAAATGAATTTTGTGTGGCGCATATGTATTTGGTGCCTTCTTGTACCAATATTTATTTGTTCAAATAAATAAATAAGTTTGCCACTCGAGTTGAATCTGCCAAAACTGACAACTTCCCACCAAAAGTCTAAAGTGTCTCTATTGTTTCAGAGGTTCTGTTGCTGGTGTCTACCTATAAAGAAAACTACGGAACTACTGTATGTGAAAATTACTGATAAAGATACACACTCAAATGCTGTCGCTGACCACCATGCAATAATAGGGCACATAATTAATGTACCGCAACAAACCATGTCCGTGAATGACTTAATTATTTGATGAAGTTCTTATCAAATAATATTTTAGCTATGGAAAGAAACTATGTCTGATACTAATAAACCGTATGTAGGTAAATCATAGGATGATTGAATTAATTGTTTCCTTCTAAAAAGATTCCCATTTCTAATCAAAAACTATAGTTGGCTAACTTGATATAGAAAAAAAGGATTGTGACTATTAACACGATTCAGAACACATGTTTCATCTTGTTTGGAATTCATTGGTTAGATGTACCTGCAACCCAGTAGATTTTAATTAAGATGCTCAGTTGACTACGGAAGTCAGATAGTCACTAATTTGTTTGACTGCTATGGAAAGCCTTTCCAAGTACAATATGCATTCACTAAATGGTTTACAAGTTGTTAATTTGTAATTTAGATGCCCATAAAACAAACCAATGTTTAAAGTTGAATCATTTACTACTATTGATTACAGTAAACTTATGTACATGAAGATTGTTAAAAATCACATTTTATACATGAAAAAAAACTCAAAAGTGATTCGTGAAAAAATCAACAGATATTTTAAAACATTTTCCATTTGACTTGATTAACTCAACTACATAGTAAACTTAAAGTTTCAATTCCATTGGATAAATCTTTGTTCCAGTATAAAATAACTATTGGGCTTTATGATCAATGTGAATTCGAGAAGAGATATTGTACGATAGGGACGAAAAACAAGCAAATGTTTAAGTCATTAACACATAATTTTTAAAGTTTATACCTCAGTATCATTGATACTTGAAAGATTGAGTGTTCGAAAAATCTCAAGATGAAAAAAGGGGAATTGATGATTATGTTGCACAGAAGTATAGTTAACAAACTTTTTTCCCCACTATTAATCGATAAGTGGAATGTACTCAGTCATCTAGTATATAAATTTGTCGTACATAATTTTTCAACATAAGTTAGATGGAGTGGAGGGTATAAATCAGTAAATAATTAGTTGTGGATAAACACAGTTGAGGAGTTTTATTTTGAGGCGAAACAGCTATCCAGTGCTTTCTGTTTTTCAAAAAAATACTAGGCTGTGATGTAAACCATGAAAATCTATTTATTCAAACATTTTAAGTGGTTAAATATCTTAAAATTAAATGAATAGTATTGATAAATATTAAAATATACCGCTTTAACGTGAGAGTTAGTGAAAGTTTAACAGAACAACAAATCTAAACATTCATAGGAAAATAATACCTTGAATTCTTCAGAATTTTGTGGTATTACTTCAGTCACTTGTGCATATAAATGATATGCTTTCACATAGGATAATAGTTCCGCTTTGTGTTTAGAACCTAGAATACATTGTTTCAAATAAAAATAATATGAAAAGCATTGGATATTTTTTCTTTACCTATATTCATGAGGTTTTTAACGGAAAAAAAATACAAAGTTTTGCAAAGAATTTAGTGGAAAGACAAGTTTTCAGTCAAATGTTATGACTTCGACTGCAGATGATCACTCCACACCGTCAATGTAAACTTCAAACTTGGACAAAACAAATATTAGATATCTTAGAATATAGAAAAATTCCAAACTACCAACAAAATGATTTCGTACTTGACTTTTAGCTGTTTGTGATCGTTAGTGATATTACAACATAGACGTCGTAAACAAGGAAATTGAACCGGGTCCAAACATAGGATTTCATGGTTGAACTACAAAGCTACTGATTATTTAATCAATAACATAAAAAATAATAATAAAATATATTCGTAAAAATTCATACAATAATTAAATCCTTATGCACGGACAATGGGTAAGCAAATAATTATAGGTATTTTGCCTGTCTATCACTCTCTACAACTAAACTAGAGATAATTTGTTTCACAGTCGACAGATAAGAAATATCTGTAATGTTTGTGTTAAAAAAATTTTTTACAATAAGGATTAACAGTTATTCAGCTTTAAGTACATCCAGGTCAGTGTTGCCTAAACATCCTATTCAACACATATTACACTTAGAATAGAATTAGTATTTTGCTTGGTGTGAATAAATTTCAATGTCCCCAAATGCCCTGGTACGGTTAATGGTGTAGAGAGAAAGCTTTCGCTCTCAAAATGCTCTCATATGGCCTCGCGTATATATCCACTATCAGGGAAGTCCTACTCACTACCTTCTCGCGGTGGGGGTGTTGTTTATGAAATTGAGAAAATGAAAATGAAATGTCAGGCACTTTAACCGAGTTGGTGGTAACGGAGAATCCACCTAGGGGAGTTAGTTAACCCTTGTTTCAAACCAATGATACATATGGGCTCCAGTATCCTGAAGGAACAAATAGCGTATGAACCTATCATACGAGTGAAATGTCTTATTGGTGGACCAAATATAGTTTAACTTAAGAAAAATAAACCTTACAACTTACCGGAATCAATCAAATGTAGAACAGCTTTTGAATATTTTTTCAAGCTATGATCAATTTTAAATTGTTGATATGCTATAGCCTCTTCCATAGTATCACAGTGATATTTTTTCAAGTCATTTGTTATAGAATTTAATTCGTTTAATTCAGCTAAATATTCTTTTGGATCTAGTTGTGTACGTTGTGCCATTATTGTAGCAAAATTTAAATCATATGTACCTAATGCAACTTTATACAATTCAATTGGTGTAGCAAAATATTGTAAATGACGTAATCCATTATTCCATGTATTTATATCTCCATTTTCTAAAAAAAATGGATTAACAGTATTATATAATAATAAAAATCATTTTATAAACTATAGTATTTAGTAGGGGATGTGCTTGTAGAATAATTAGCTTAGTGAAGGATTATTCTCCAAAAAAGTTTGTTCTTAAAGCTATACCATCGTACAAATATATGCATAACATCATAAAGTTATGAACATGGAACTTTGAACTGTATCTATATTAAAAACAGTTTTCACCAAGTTAGATACAAATCTACTTAATATCGTTTGGGCAGACCATTTGAGTGTGAGAATTACAAGATTGTGTGTGTACGATTCTGTTTAAAAAGCTACTGAAATCTCTTGGGAAGAGTACAGAAAAGCGCTACTCCATGATTTCGATGGTTTACGACAAAAGCCATGAGAAACTAGGCTTTTTTATACGTCAATTTGAAGGTAACTTAATTACGATACAAAGAAATGATTTTGGACTTACTATGTCTTCTCTATTACTTAAAACTAAGTGAAGAATATTTGGTGGACATAACGCGCAAACCTAAACACTAAAAACATAGTAGTATACAGGTTTTCTTAAGGTGTACTCAACCTTACTATTGGGAGTTCTTTCTAAACCTTCAATTGACTCATCTTAGAGAGGACTAGAGCTACACTGAAGCATATTATAACAGGATTAACACATGCCTCGAACCTTCTGTCTGTAAAGCATAAATTTGAATGTGAATAGGTATTCAGTGGACATTTACGATAAAAGAACGACAATGAAATGTAGAAAATGATAAATCAATAGAATATGCAGCGTAGATATGAGTATAACTATCATCCAGTTTGAAATCAAGACCGTCGAAAGTATAAAATAATCACAAGTTCCAGTTAGAAATAATCTATTTCTTATGACAGAAAGCTAGCCATATGATGAAAGAGATATTTTTCAAAATATTACGTAAGAGTATGCTTTGGAAAAATAGTTGTAGCAAAAAGACTTATCAAACAAACTGTCATGATAAGTACGTACTCGGTTTTCCAATTATGAATTAAACTAATGTGATGGGATGAAAACTCCCCCAATATTTCTGAATGGATTTTATAGGTGATACCAGAAGAAGAATCTAAGATCGAATGACCCGAGTCTTCCTCATGTTGCAGGACAGAGAATGTAATAGGTCTGTGATGCTCTTGGCTAAGTCAACTAAATGTGTTGTCGAATGTGACAAGTATACCCATGAACTATCTACATAACGATACTGTTAACAACAGCAAGTGGATTGGTATGCACAGTGAAATTATTAGCTGCGCAGTGAAATGATTAGTCTCATTAAACTTATGACTTTGTGAAGACATACTTTAATACGGTCCGGACTTTTAATGTTTTGAGAATATAATTATATAATTCAAATAAACTTTATTACAGTTATATCAAATTATATCCCCGAGTTCATCAGTGCCGAAGTAGATGCATAATGTCACACCCAAGCTAAGATTGAAGTTTTACCAGTTACTAACAGAATACTTACTAACAACAGATTAATGAGCAATTTTAGTGAGGAAACTATAATCGAATATCTCTAAAACAAAAATATAAATTGGGAAGAAAATCAAAAGTAAATTGCGTAAGTAGCTTCTTTTTTTAACTAAAGTGAGTTTCTGAAATTCGGAATAGAGATTTCCAGAAGGGACATTTCCAGGATGTGAAAAACCTGAGACCGTATAACTCTATTCTTTTAATCAGAAAGTATGTTCCGTCATACAGCACCATGTAAACTGATGACTGAAGAGCCTACATATGTCTTGAAAGACTAAAACATCTACATGAAATGGTTATTCAGCAGAGCTATATTATAGATTCCATTGAAGTTGGGAATGCGAAAAGATTTTTAAAAACAGTTTGAGCGCTGAAAGACTGCAGAGGAAAAATAATATGTGGTGACAAGGATAAATTTCTCTCCCAAAATTCCTTTGGTTTCAAAACAGAGAAGCCAATTTTGAACATGAAACAACCCAATAATGATGTAAACATTAAATATACTTTGCTTTGTACTACAAATAAGTTTTTAACAGTCCTTGTGATTGACTCAAAATTGGCTTCAATATCTCAAGATCGACAGTACAACTGAGCTTAACTGACGAATATTTACATGAAAACAACACTATACTTGTAAGTAGACTAAGAGATTGTGAGAAAAAATATCGTGACAAGAACTAGAAAGCGTGGTTTGTTTCTTCTTGATAATTTCAAGTTAAAATTTTGCACCTACTAACAGTCAATAACTTCATGAACTAATGTCCCAATTCGTCTAGGCTCTCCTAGATTTTTTCCAGCGTATAATTACGTCAACATACAAAACTTATCAAGACAGGTGGTGATTGATTACAAATTATACACGTCCCAACCATTTCAGTAGATTACGGTTTATTATCTCATCAACCCAGTCGCCATTCCTACCTATTACCCTAAGTTTAACTTCATCTTCTCAATCATATATTTCGGTCATGAACGAGTAATACATCGAAGGCATCAATGATCAGAGATCTATGAATGTTCTCTATTTTTAAAGACCAATTCATAACCATAAAGCGGAACAGAATGTGTAGTATACTCATCGTTTAATTGGAAAACGGACATCTTGTCAACAACAAAAGTGACGCACTTTGGTATAACTTGATGCAGCTTCCTGAATTCGTGCTAAGGTACTGTCAGATACAATGAAGCTTGAACCCATTACGTAACGTTTCAAATAACAACACAGTTTTAAATGAGGTGATTGATCCAAGTATCTACTGACTTATCTAAGGGATATGATGCTTATATTATCATAATCAAGGGTTTGAGTTGTTCCGCTGTTAATAATCAGGAATGAATTGGCAGTTTTGGCAATAGGTATTGAGCGCAAATCCCAATATAAACATCAACAATGGGATCCGGGGATATCTAACTGATGAGTCAAAAACAGGACGACAAAGTGAGTCTTGAATTTAACTGATAATCACAATATATATTTATTCGAAAGAAAATGCACATAGGGAAACAAGCAGTATCATTTTAAACGGACATCTAAATTATTATGTATTACTTTTATCGAATTCTCAATATCAAATTACTTCTGTTTATGGACTCACTGAACTAATCGAACATTAATAAATATCAGTAGTCATGTACAAAGTGTAGGAAAAATGAAAAAAAAGTAACTGTTATTAAACAAACGGAATTCGGCTATTGATCGATAAAGATATTGAGTCCCAAAAATACAATGTTTGTACTTTTTGTTAAATAAAGTATATAATGCATACATCCAAGACTAGATAGATACATATATGTGTTTATCGATTAGAATAAAACTAAATTTGTTCTCATTTTTATTATAAATCTTATTGGTATAAAATTAATGGGTAATAAGGGAGGAGGGGGGCTGGACGAAAGGAGGAAACAAGTTGAGCAGTAGTAAATTATCATATTGATATATAAGACTAACTAAGAGATTATAAAACTATTGTAACTCATAGATTAGTTGGGTGATTTGAGGAAGTAAAAAGTGCAATGAACTGTGTACATGATATAAGTATTTTAAATGATAAGGAATTATAATTCATGTCAATATTGTTGTAGTCTGCCAATTTGGTGTTATTAATGAATCCATATTTTCATGACCGATTCATTGATCTCAAAACTGATAACTTATTTTAATATACATTCTAACTGTTAGGCCTAATGATATCATTCAGCTGGTGAAAATAAACTCGGTGGGGAGAAGTTTACAGATGAGATTTAGTAGCTGAAAATAGGACGTTATTCGACACCGTTCAGTTGAACTGTGTGTAGACGTCGGGAATCGAACCCGAACTGACAAATTGGAAGATGGTTATGATAAATCAAGAACTGCAAAACAATTAGATATTAGTAATAACAATAAGAGTATTTTGAAAAGAGCAAGAACAAACATTCTAGCAGAATAGCATGAATTCATTTTTATAAGAGTATTAACTAATCCAAAAGGATGGGTTAGATTTGTGATTCCGAAGAAAATGAATTTGAAAGTGTTGTAATGTAACATAACTATAAAGTAAGGGTGTATATATTTAGGCTTCTAGCCACGTTCTCCGCGTGTGTGCTAAGGGATAATGATAGTACCCATTAGCATAAAGCGGAATACGTGAGAGGGGTTTAGAATTGCGATTTTTTGCCGAGACCAGGTTCAGCTATTAAATGATTGAAAATGTGAATGAATCAATTTTATAAAGCTTTTGCTGTCTTTAAGGGACAAATAAGTTTAAACAACAGATGACAATATTTACTAAGAACATTACATTGGATAGGTTGGTTACAACAATCACTGTTTTTATAAAAACCGATAAACGAATAAACAATACGATGTTTTTTCCACTTATACCAGTGGATTTCGGGCAAAACAGAGTAAATATGAATCTGATTAAAAAAACAGGAAAATTTTATAAGTAATGTTCTTTTAGCCATTCAAAAACGGAAGAACAATATACAATAGAGCCGAAGTATTCGGCGTAATTGATTAATTTATATCGGTGATAATATCGACAATACCACCAAACTACCTGTAACAACTATTTACACCACAGATCAAAACAATCACTACTACTACAACCCACTGTGCACAAATTGTTCAGAATTTAGTTTTTTTTAAGCGTTGCACCAAACCAAATGATGTGACATAACACCGTTTAGAAAATTCTTCTGGAGAAAAAAATCATCAGTTTGAATAAATACGATGTTTAATTGAGGTTTGAAATAATAATCCTAATACATAGAGTGTTATTATAGGTGTGTGGGCGGATATTACCTTTTGTTGCCACACTATGGAAGAATACTCCTTGGGTGATTTAGAGGACCTGAGAATAAGACCGAGGCCAATTACACACTGTCTTTTTGTGAGTAGTCATAAATGTATTAACTCTGTATTTTAAAGACCTTACAACCAAATACAAAAATCTGTGGGGAAAGGTAAGGTGTAACATTTATAGGATTGACCTTTTCTAATCTCTTTCTTTAGTTATGAGAAGACTGCATAGTTGCAGATGATGGTTATCTGAGGGAAACACCTTATTGTCATCGCAATCTTGTATAGTTGGCAGTGACACTTTGCCCTCGGACATCAAGTTGCTGCTTGTAGTCTTACCGTTCTCTAACTGATGTGCGTAGAATGACAGGATCTAAACGAACAAATGTTTCAGTCGATATAGTTCGAGTGGATCCTTACGATATGTCAGCCTGATCACCAACTACATCAATGTACGAGCTATGTTTGGGGATTCCTAATTAAGATATTCATATACACGTGTAAGCAACAAAGTTAAATTGAAGAGACAGCAATATGTGCATTATATCTTAGAAAATTTTTTACTGAATAATTCAGTGAATGAGTATACATTCATGGAAAAAAATGGAGATTTGTATCTCAGGTGAATCTTTCTTGGTAATGTTCTTTAGAGTTGAATGATCTACTCATAAAACTTTCAAATGGTATGGCATTTAGGTAAATATGCAATCCATAAGGAAAAATGTTAACAAATCATATGGTCAGAATTCAACTGAACAAAGCAGCCAATGGGAACAAAAGCATACGAAAAGATAAAATCAATTATGATAACCAGTCAAAGAAGGAAAATGTTAGTACTGTAATTATGTAAAACTGATAAACTGAGGTAGTATAAGCATATTACGCGTCAATGCACACATGTCCTCTCAAGTTTAAACAATAGATGGAAAGATTAAAAACGAGGCAGATTGTCAAGATTGTCGATTAGGCATGCGCTTTCATGAAATGGAAGAAAAATTCTGTAACAATGATTTGAGTATATATTATTTCAGTCTACTGATTGGACTTTTCTACTTATTTCAGTTTTCCTTCTTTCATATTGGGATAATTAAACCGTATAAACAGTAAATACATGTAACTGAGTTAAATGACAGAACATAACAGAAACAACGACATTAAGCACCAGAAAGCATATTTACTGATTAATCAACTCCGTAAAAAATGTTTTTAAGAATACAAAAATACAATACACATGTATTATAATTCGATACTTGGCTTACCATGTAAAAGTTTTAATCTTAGTAAACCAGCTTCATAGTTTGGTGGGACCTTTTTTGCATAACAAGTTATAATTGGCACAATCAATCTGTATTAATAGAGAAGGTATAAAAGTGTGTGGTAAATGACAGAAAGAAAGTATTGACGGTATAAGTAGATTTACAACATTATGGTATACTAAAATTTAGAGAGCTTTAAATAATTCTCTTGAAGAAGTTTCCAGAAGCTTAAAGAAATTTGAAAATATATCGTTTGAAGCAGTGGTTTTATAGAAACATCCCAGGACGTTCCGAAGAAAGCAATGTGCTACGTGTTTGGATAATTACATATTTTCACGAATATTTGCATTTTTCCAAAAGCTTTTGGAATATCAATGCCACAAATGATTTTGTAAGTATCTTTATCCTCTGCACCTGAACTAACCTTAGTAGTACTTTTCAATTTTAGCATTTTGTTTGGGGTTTCAAGTGTAGATTTCGGGCGGAAGTAGTGAGAAGTCACTGAAAAGTATTTAAGAACATAATTTACTGAAAAGACATCCTTTCTGTAATGGAATATAACTGATTGATAAAATTACTTGAGTAACTGAGGTAATGACCTTACGGATAATTTTGTGCACAAAACTGTACACCAAATCTAAAATGAATCGGTTTCAGATGATAGAACAACCGAGAAACTCATCAAATGAATCCAGAGATGAAAAATGTTAATTAAAAACTTCGATATAACGACTTATCGGATAAACAAAGATTATTTAAGGTTAGGGTTAAAATTACCAAATAACCAATGATCATACACTTCTGACAATAATATCAGTTTTGAAAGCAACTCAACAAAAATGTATAGCTATTAGTGTATACTATAATTTGAATTCAACAGAAGTAGTTGGAATTAATATAGATTTAAAGATATGTTTTCGAAAACATTTCGAGATAAAGAGAGAAACGAACGTTCTATCCTCAACAAAGTTTTTCATTTACACAAAGCATTATAAATAATGACGAGTTGTAGAATTAATTTTAATCAGGAAAGAACTAAACACCTTAAAAGCATAGCGCTTAATTGGTGATACATGTCTTCAGAAACCCATACAAGTTCTTCAATATTCAGATCCGTAATTACAGAACAAAGTTAGACTACATAATGTACGAAATGATGTTATGTAAGATTGAATTTTGCAATCCCGTTAACTGTAAACAGGCAGTTGCAACTAACTGAGTTACACTAACAACTTAGTCATTGGACGTACACCAACAGATATCTTCCACTTACTAGTCAACACATAGCAAACGCTTTCACTCCAAACAGATCAAAATACACTATATTATTAACTTCTTAGAGAGAGAAGGATGTTGTAAATGGTTTATTAGCTGAAAACCTGTTTGTAATTAATACTACTCTAGTAATAATTCTTTCCTAAATTTGAATTGATCTTTTTTGCGTTTTGAAATTTCTCACATCGAGCATTCTTCATCTTTAACATAGTCAAGGACTATTTTCCTTCTCTAGTTGTTTCTTGGACTTTAGATACTACTTAAAGATTGCTAGAAAGAAAATTGTAAAGGTACTGATACGCAATATATGTCAAGTCGGACAGGAAACACAGTGCACTTGATGTCGAGTCATTAGGATAGTGTAAAATATTTTGTCTTGATCGATAGGATTCGCTTAATATTAGTAGCTAGGTAGACATGATATTGGTGATAACTCCGTGAAAAATCAAAGTAAACAAGTAATAGAGGTTATTAATTTCAATTGATGTATCAAATGAGGACCTTGAGGACCTGACTTTCAGATTGGTTATTATATAGGAAGACATATGAAGCTGCTTATGCTCATTGTTCAAAATGGAAGCTATGAGTATTTCACTAATACTTATTACATAGATTGAAATGATGGTTTAATGACTTATTTAATATTTGTATTCTGATGTATTAATTAACTCAGAATTTTCCTAAGCGATCAGCCAGAAACTGTAGGTCGGCTTTTTTTAGAAATCAGAATTCTAACGTATAGGAACTTTGGTAAAAAATAGCTAAACTATCTCACCCATTACATGATATTAACGCACGAGTTATGGAAAGAATTAGCAAACTGTCAGATTGATTATTCTACAAAATTGGCACTTTATATAAGTACTCAGGCATTTACTTCAAGATGATGTGCAATTTTCAACACATGTACATGCATACACACACACTTCAGTCAGTCAGCTACAACACAGAACCAGGCACATATATGCATCGGTCCAAGTTGCCATACCTCATTAGCACAACAAGAAAACACTAAATTCATAGAAGCATTTAGTTCAATGGTAGTAAAGAAAGATTGCATCAGTCCAAGTTTCAAAACACACACACCTTCAAATTAACTTGTTTCTATTCGAAAGGACTTTCAAGTGCTTACTTGGTTGGATTATGCTTCTCCATTTCATCAATAAGAATATCAGTTATTCGGTCAAGCTTAGATGTTTTTAGAGTTGATCGATGGCGCTCGGAAGATTTGGAATAAAATTTATGATAAATTGTTTCTGTTACATCTTCCTCACTAAAATTTTCGATAAAAAAAGAAAAGAAAATGAGACAGGATTAATAAAGGTTAAAAGTACAATGAAAGAGAAACACCAAATAAACGGTAGTTTTAGTCTAGGACATTGGTGATCACATGGGTAATCAATTAATTGAAATAATTATTTGTATATATGTGACAATGTTGACATTAAGCATAGGTTACAAAGTAAAGATGGCAAATCGGTTGATAAGGTAGTGAATCTTTATCAGCTGAGGTAGTTGGAGCATGTGTTGTGTATGACAGACCACCGTCTACCTCAACGAGTGATGCTTGCTAATGCAGAAGTTGAAATAAAGATACGGGAAGCCAAACTAGAACATGGCATTAGTAAATGAAGTCAATGACTATTGGTCTGAGCCATGTATGTTAGGTGAACACTAACTGGTTGACGTCCGTGTGATAATCACGAGTAGGGGCTGACGACATTGAGTGAAATGGTTCAGCATCTTTCACAATGGGGTAGGTTACATTAATTCCTTATTTTCCTCTCGATCTTAAATTCCAGTATCCCTGAGTATGTACCGTTTCGCTCTGTTTTTTCAAATCATATTACCAAAGTTTAGTCTTTTCTGTACATTATTTTGATCTATTTTGTTATATTCATCTCACCAAACTAATGAAGTATGGTAACTTGGGCTAATGCACATTTGTTCCAGGCTTTATGATGATAATACCTGTTTGTCTGTGTGTGTGGTAAAAGACTAACATAAAACTTGAAAGGCGTATCTTTCTTCTACTTTTTAACCCACATACTACTATGATAATAGCAGGAAGCGATTTGCTAAATAACTGATTACCCTATCACTTCAATCGATGAAAACTGATAGCATTATCAATTGACTTATTCTTTTGATCTAATCAAATACACTAAATTATGTGCGCGTTTTGATTTCACAATTAAACCGACCTAGTCGATAAGTAAAAATTCGTGTATACACTGATTTGAACTGTACTATTTGTATAAGAATCGATGGTGATGATATCCTTCTATCTAAACAGGGTATAAAGCAGTTTAAATTTATAATCTTATTTATAGAACGGTCAGAGCTTGAAATAACACGGCAGTACTCGTTTAGAACTATTAATAAGTACATGTAATGAATATATATAATTTGACTTACACAAGATCAGATATAAATAATGTGATCAAATCAGGATCGTCAATTGATTGTAAGAATTGTTTGACATTTGATAGAAATAAATTAGGGTTATAATCATGTAATAAATTGAAATTGATCCGATGACGACGCATCATTTTAACAGCTTGTTCATATTGTTTACTTAAATCAAAATTATTTTTAAAAAATAAAACATAACAGTATTTATATATACGATGAAATGATGCGTAAAGAATCAAATCAGTAAGAATAAACAGTCCTCAAAAAATCACTGAAGTAACATTAGATTTAATACTTAGAACTGATGGATTGTAGGTAGCGGTTGAGAATATCGAAACCAGGAAAAATGTAAACTCTCCTAGATTATAACAAAAATATTATAACTTGTTGAGCAGGTTAATAGTTAACTGAAGTGGCTTGCTTGGTGAATAACGTGAGGGGTGCATGAACAGAAAAGATATTGAAATTTAAATCGCAATGTGAACATCAACACATAGATCGAGGTACAACCGGCGGATGGATCTCAGATATGACGAAAAACAGACTAGATTTCACTGCAAGTCACAGTCCGTTTATTCAAAATAGAAACCCATGGCACGGTTAGCCTGTGACAATCCAGTCATGATGCAGCACATAATGGTATACATGGTTTCAGGAAGACTGGTTCAGTGTTCGTATTCGGTGGTAGCACATAACTTTTGACCAGTCAGTGAGTTAAGGTCGCTTAGTTAGGACAGGATTTCCACCATAGGCGAGCTGTTCTAAGAGTTGAAATATAAAATACACAAGATGAGAATAGTTAAGTGACGTAGTATAAAAGAAATAAAAACAAATGTTATCAAATGATTGTAAATATGACTTGTCTGAATGAGCATTAAAGCAAGAGTAATTTTTCCAGTAGTAATTATCATTAATCCTTAATGAAATAATTCAAACCCCTTTTATTTATTTATTTATTTATTTTAACACATAGATATTGGTACAAGGAGGCACCGAATACATATGCGCCACACAAATCTCATTCGATATGTGTGAGGGCTGTGATACTGCACGGGTGCCCAAACCGAAGCAGCTGGTTGTCTTATGGGGGCCACTCCCCGAGCCTTCGACCTGAAGGTCTGATCCATAAGGCAGTGGAGCATCGCAAGGAGATGCAGTCCCATGGAAGCCGGTGACCAACGATTAGTTCATACGCCATTTGTTGCCTCAGGATACTGGAGCCCATGTGCACCATTGATTTGGTTTGGGATCCGGTTAAAGCGCCGGACATTCGCTTTTCGTCCTCTCATTTTCGTAAACAACACCCCCGCCACGAGAAGGCAGTGAGTAGGACTTCCCTGGCGGAGGCTATATACGCGTGGCCATGTGAGAGCATTTCGAGAGGGAGAGCGGACTCTCCCCACTCTCGGCCGTACCAAGGCATTTATAACAATAATAATGATAATAATGATAACCTAGCTTACTTATTAAGTAATTTGGATAAATGTGCCAGTACAAGAGCACGAGGATGAATTTCTTCCAAATTCCCACGTGGCATTTGTAGTATGACTTTGGTATCATTTGGTATCGCTGTTACAATGATTGCACCTGATTCGATTGGATGTAAATTATCATTATACCAGTTACGCGGTGGTTTACGTGTACTGGCGTCCAATTCAGAAGGAATATTCAATCGTGAAAGTAATTCTATGTTGAGATAATGGCAGAAAAAAAGAGAGAAAAATAGACAAAAATGGGAATATTCCAAACGGTCATTAAGGATTTGAGTTTAGGGAAAATTTTTGCAAAGGAAAGAGCTTTGTTTACCTTTGGATTATCACAGATAAAAATTCAATCCTGGATATACATCAACAATCAAACAATGCAAACCTAAAATGTATCCCCCCTTGAACAAGTCAGTGGTTCATTGGATAGCACATTAGAGTTTGAGGCGACAAGCAGTGAATTCGAGTCTCTATGTGCGAACACTAACACTAGGATGTGATATCAATTATTTCGATTGGATACAACAATGATGACGTAGGATTAAGCTGTGCCAGTAGGTTAAGAAATCTTGATCTGAATATGATGCTTGAATCCACCAAGCAAAACAAGACAAAACCTACGATACCCCAAGTTTATATGGTAATCAGATGCAAATGACTGTGATATATTGTAAATAAAAAATTAACTATCCAAACGAATTTACTGAAAAAATCTGGGTTAAATTATTGTAATGTGCATTATCAGAATGTTATGCTAATATACACAAGTTTTCTATGAACAAGCCCAATCAGTTTAAGTGTAAGGAGGAAGCATTTTATGGTTAAACCGAATAGACAGATAACTTTATCGTTTGGACGATCTCTGATTGGCTTGCTATATCACAGGTCGGTCTGGTTTCTTGGGTTCAATTCAAATGTGGGAACTCAAATGGAGGGCACATCAGTTATCTACCTCGAAGTATGTATTAGTTTGACTTTTTGAGTTATAGGGATTATCTATGCAGTCTCTGTTTACTCCTTCTAATTAGTTGGGTTGGTTAGACTTCGAGAATGTACATAGTCGTTAGGTCAGAAAGTAGATTATCACATCGATAGCCGCACTTGATCATAGTGCTTCAGCTGCATAAGTTACTGATGCCCTTTTAAATTTTCATTTTTCAACTGCCCTCGTTCTATTTGAACTATGTCTCTCATTTTTGGATTACCACTGTTTTTGATATTAATTCCCATCTGCTATGCTTCCTATCCAGTCGAATACCTTTCTCAGCGTTCTGATGTAAGGTATACTGGATCTCGGAGTGATGTAAGGAATATCCATCATCTATCGATCAGTAATCGATGTTTCATGTTAATACATCTTAGAAATAACTAAAATACCAGAAGTTGTTAGTATGGAGATTTGTGAAGACTGTTGAATTTTCTCATTTATATTATGAACTAACTGTAAATAGGGAACCATTGAAAACTAGGAAGTGCTGGATAAGATTTCTTAAAAATGTAAATACAAAATTATGCTAAAGAAAAAAGAACTCAGCAAACCTTGAACATTTAGATCATTTGGGATCCAATAGTTTATATTTTTAAATTAAATCGATTTGTGAAATTTCACAATCATTATCTAAAATGCCCCCAAATGCCCTGGTATGGCCGAGAGTGGGGTGGGCCTGTCCACCCTCTAAAAATGCTCTCACATGGCCACGCGAATACAGCCTCTGCCAGGGAAGTTGGTTACCGGTTACCATGGGACTGCATCTCCCCACGATGCTCCACTGCCTTGTGGGCCAGACCGTTTGGTCAAAGGCTCGGGGAGTGGCCCTCTAAGAAAACCACCTGCTTCGGTGTAGGCACCCGGGCAGTATCACAGCCCTCACACAAATAAAATAAAAATGACTTTTGTGTGGAGCATATATATTTGGTGCCCTCTTGTACCAATATTCATGTGTTCAAGTAAATAAATAAATAAACATTATCTAAAATTACCATTAACATTAACAATTCATACAATCAGTCAGTCAGTCTTGAATGCTGTTAGAGGTATGAGGGTGGTTATCAGTTCCCGGTTGCCCACACCGTGGAAGGGTTGTTCTGGAGGTACCTGAAAAGGAAATTGGATTAGAGGTGGTCTTAATGACCTGGGAGCGTGACCGCAGTACCCAAGGGACAACTGCTTGAGGTCGGTCACACACGACCTTTTTATGGGTAATTTTTGTGTTAGCTCCGTACTTATTGAGACCTTACCGCCGGAGACGGATATCCGTGGGATAAGGCGAGGTGTGCATTTTTAGGGTCGACCTTTTCTAACCCCACCCCTCCTTGTGGGAAGGCAGCACCGCTGTCATGCTGGTTGTCTGAAGGAAATACCTTACTGCTGTCACACCTCTGTACAGTCAGCAGTACGACTTCGCCTTCGGACCTTGGGTTTGTTGCTTTTAGTCTTACCGCTCTTCAACCGACCTGTCTGACATGGTAGGACCTTGAGGAACGGTTGTTCCAGCCAGTATAGCTCGGTTGCTTCATCACGATAGGCAAGCCCGACCACCACGTCAAGGTAGCAACAACGGTCGGGAATTCATACAATACATAGAAATATTGTTGTTTTATATTAAACTCAAATATAAAATGTATTACCTTTTAAAAGACTATTTGGATCATTAATTTGTGATATATTAAATACTAATGAGACGCATATTAACAATTTTTTTACATTAGTTACAATTAAAAATTCTGATAATCCAATTAATGAAGAGCAGGAATCTGTAATATTTAATGCAATAATATTATTTTGTTGAAAATGTCCAGTATTATGTTGTTTTGGTAAAACAGCAGCGAATAAACAATGTGTTGATTTATTAAAACCAAATAAAATTAAAGCAGAATAATTAACTGTTATGAATGATGAATTCAATTGGATAATATTATAATTGTATTCATCAAATACTGGTATACATAATAATTGTTCACAATTAGATGGAAATTGTATTATACAATTTAATGGATTATAAGAATGTAAATTATCAATGTTGAATTCATTCATTTGTAGAATTTCATAACAATAATTGTTATCTAAAATGAATTTAATGTATAACAACATTATGAATAATCTGTAGTTGCAATTTAACAATCAGTTAGTCAGCTACAACATAAGACCATGTACATATATACATCGGTCCAAGTTGCCATACTTCATTAACACAGCAAGATGAACACCGGATTCATAAAAGTAGTTAATTCAGAGGTGGTGATATATAAAACAAAGATTGCATATAAGGATATAGCATAGGAAGAAAGAATTAATACGTAGAAAGAAAGATATGCAGCGATTTTAATCTCTTAGTTTAAGGGAAGATAGAGAGTGTGTACACCTACGACATTGTGATCGATTCTGAGTCATGTCACCAAGAGTCTCCAACCGTTGGTTACGACAGTCACGCGGACCCTAACCAAGTAGTCTGCATCTACCAACATGGCTCAGACCAGATATTAGTGTCTTCAAGCACTGATGCTACGTTTTGGTTTGGCCGCCCCTAACTTTCTTCCAACTATTAACAACACAGATAAAGATGCTATTATACATGAAAATTGTATTTGAAATAATCTCAACAATTGAATTTCAAGTAATTCTAACGTTTCGTCCAAGCAAACTTGTCAGGACTTTTACAGGATGATAATCAAAATAAAATTTTTTGTTAAGCTATTCATTTTAATATTGACCAATATTCGTATATACAGATAATGATAGATTCATAATGAGAAACATATCATAAAACATTTTTTCAATATTTCAATTTGTTATTTCTTTGAGATAAATTTTTGATTCCATACTTGTATCAATTTTGTTGAAAATGATTTTACTTCTTTGATAAATAATAATAATTAAGTGAATATATAAGTTGGTGGATACAAACCGAAATCACCTCTAGTCTTTAAATACAAAAGGATGGAGTTACCTCAGTCAGTTAGTCAACTACAACGTAAGACCAGGCACATATATACATCGGTCCAAGTTGCCACAGCTTATCAGCACAACACCAAATTTATAGAAGTAGTTACTTCAATAGTAGTAATATATAAATGAAAGATTGTGTATAACAAAGGAAGAAAGAATAAGTCCGTTGAAATAAAGGTATAAAGCGATTTTAATCTCACAGTTTAAGAGAAGACAAAAAGTGTATACACCTACGCCATTGTGGATGCTGAGCCATGTTACCCCTAGTCTCCAACCATTGGGTATGATAGCCGCGCGGACCCTAACCAAGTAGTCTGTCTTTACCAACATGGCTTAGACTAGAAGTTAATAACTTCAAGGACTAATGCCACATTTTTGTTTGGCTGCCCCTTCACTTAATGCCTTTTCACGTTGAAGAATTGATCCAACTATAAGGTCAGACGATGAATGTAGACATACAAAGCTCAAAATAATTTATTGGGTATGAAAAAGTTAACTTAGGGGCCAGAGGAGGCTCAGAATAATTCTAATTCTAAAACAATAGTAGAAGGACATAAGGCATCTGCTGCTTTGTATTTAAAATTTTTAGGTACATAGGTGGAAGTATTTTGAAAAATCCTCCGCTCAAACACATACCAAAACAAAATATGACCAACACAATTATTGACGAAGAAACATTAATAGCCAACTTCAGTAACATTAATAGTAATAACAAGAAGAAGAAGAAGAAGAAGAATATTTGACAGCATAAATAAAGAATTTTCAGCAAAAAAAACATGCAAACTTCAAACAATGGTCCGGTTTTACAAATATTTCCCTCGTGAATATTCAAAAATATGCGTAGAAAGTTATTAAACAATGAATGTTTACGATTGATCATCTTTAAGGCGGCCTGCTTGAATATCTGGTTACCTGTTACTGACATCTAAATATTTCAACAAGTTATCAGTTTTTTTTGTTTATTTTAACACATTATTATGTTGATAAATCGAATAACCTATTTAGGCGCGTTTATGAAAAGTTTACGACCTTTCGATGTACATGTAAAAAAGTATAATTGGCGGCATTATGGTGGCTGGCAATATGCATTGAAAAAAAAGAATATTATTCAGATGTCGATTCCTGAACTACTGACAACTAACTGGCGATCACTTAATATATATCGCCAGGATCGATCAAGAAATAAGAAAAGGAAACTTGTTGAAATACTTTGTGTTGAGAATTCTATATTGTACCAAAAATATAATATCGAATAAAGCCAATAATAATAACTATTTTTATCAACGAATATATTTAATGCATTAACCCTGTGGTAATCTAAACCAGTTTATTCAAGGAAAAGAGAATGAAGAAAATGAACGGAGCCATGTTGTGGTAATACCTAAGTTTATTAGAAATAAGCTTCGTAATACGTTGCAAGCATTTTATGAAAGTGTTAGCAAGATATAGATTGTATTGAAGCACGATCCATATAGGATTATGTTGGGGGACACTGATTGGTTATTCCTTATTCAATCAGCGCTAGTGGACACTTAAACAGGACTCTAGAATCTTCTTATATAAAAACTAACAATATACTGACGTTTTCTCGTTGCGATCCCTACTTTCATCCAACCATTTTGTTTGAAATATAATTAAATTCCTGTTAAACCATGTTCTGATTTGGGGACTTGTCGAGTGAAGTAGTGTCCGACATTACTAAGCAATAGTAGTTGGGTCGTAATAAAAGAAACTACAACAGAAAGCGTATGATTATACGCTGTTATCAGATATAATCAATTAAAACAAAAATAAAATATGAACATTTATGGCAAAAAATTTGCATTATTCTTATACACCAGCCAGTCAGTTGCAATATGGAACCTGGCACGTAAGTACATCGGTCCACGTTTTCACACCCCAATACTACAGAAAGATTAAATTGTTAGGCCGAATCCCAGAGTATTAGAGGTAGTAACAGTATCAGTGGTAATAGAAATTTTAGGCATCGAAAACGCAATTCCAAAAAACATAAATTAGTAAAATGAACACACAAGACGTTATGAGTAATTCAGAAGCTTACAATTTAGGGGAAGACAAAAAATAGATGCACCTGTGTCAGTGCAAACGATTTTGAGCCCTGTAATTCAAACTCTCTAAACAGTGGTTACGACAATCGCGCGGACCCCAACGAGGCAGTCTATACACACAATGAGTCAATATTTCCAAAGAACTTATCTAATGTGAACAAAATTTTTACAATCAGTTAAGAGCAACCTAACAGTAAGACAATTATTCACTAGTCGCAGTAATTATAAAGGAAGCGGTAATTCAGGGCGTTCGAAACAATCGATGATCAATCACTCATATAGTGTTAAGTAGCTCTCACTTATTAATGAAAATTTATGGAAGAGTTAATTTTACATGAACATGTACTATGATAAATCCAAGTGAAAAAAAGACAAGCGCTAATCACATTGAACTACGCAATAGACCAATTCTAGAATCATATTAAATCTTCTAAAACTACCACAGACACAGTGTTGAAACAAAAGATAATTTGTGATACTTATATAATAAAAAGATCAAAATTATGTTCAAGGTTATGCATTCGATCTAGTGATATGTGTTTGGCATGTACTTTACTCAACAATCCTGAACAACCATAACGATAACGATGTAACATTTTTCATGGGTTGGCTGATTTTCAAAGGTTCACAAGATGAGAACATTAGTTCGTAACGAAAAACAAAATTTTTCATTACAATAAAGTTTGAAATTATTTTACAAAACTTTCATTGTCAAAATAATTTGGATATCTGACAAAAAGAAGTTTCAAACCTACTTAGTATATCTTGAACAGAATAAATGTAAACAGTACCATTGGACATTTGAACACAAACACGTCTATCAATAGTACAACAAATAGTAGTTATTCTGGCAAATTTACTGTTGTTTCTTTCCAAGAGCGTTTTAAATTCCTGAGCAGATGAAGAAGCTCTGAGTAACCAGCTGAGGGATGAAAAAATAGTAATCAATTACAACATACTGCATATATATATATATATATATATATATATATATATATATATATATATATATATATATATATACGGCCACCTTATCGTAGTATGGGACTCCTAATTAGTGCGCATCCACAACTTCGCATGCAGGAATCGAAACAAACAACGGTCTCAAGTGCGAACGCATAACCTCTAGAACATTGAGTCGAGATCCAAAGGTGTTAATGTCTAGCTCCAATTAATCCACAACATTGCGCAGCCGTCTAGTGCTTCCAGGTTTTAAAAGGTTGGTTAACTCAGATCAGTTCATGATTTCAACGAAATTCAACCATCACTACAATTCCTTACTAACGATCTATGATGTTTTTTAGCTACTACTACTCTTGATGTTACGAAATATTCCCTCTTAAACATCACATGTATTTTTAATATTTGTATTGACTCTATTTGAATCTTTGCTCCACCATGATGATATATATTCACTTATAACCAACCTACCTAACTTGTATAAGTATTTTGACTTTTATGCATAATTTTGATTTTAAAATACTATGGGTTGTACCAGTTGATAAGAGGTTAACAAAAGAAAATGAAATGATGTTATTCTGCTCAAATCTTAGTTGTTGTTCGCTTCAAAATAAAAAGGAATGGTTAACATTTGATGATCGAAACACTACTGGAATCACATTATAAGGAGATAATAATAATGATCAGGAAGATATGGATTCATAAAATATTTAATAAACGGTTATTTTATAATATTAGTATATTTGAATTAAGGCTGACAGTGGAATTTATGAAGGTTGTTTCGTCCTATATAGGATTCGTCAACTGGATGTCAACAAAGACTCCTCAAACATAACCAATACGAGTAATACAAACCTGTAATTGTATATATATGCATATATATATAAACTTACCGTCCATTTGGATTACCATCAGAATCATCATCACTAGCATATAGATTTTTCATGTTCAAATAACCTAATAGTAGACCATCCGCACCAATAAATAATACTTCATAAAGACTTAACCAGGCGAAACAACTCAATGGACTAAATAAACAAGTGTTCTTCTGTTTTAACTCAGTTAAGATTAAAGATTTCAATGATTCGTCATTGTCGTTGCATTCACTGAACAGTCTATCCATACTGGAATACAATTTGAGAAAAAAAGAACGGAATTGAAATACGGTAATAAAAAAGACAGTTTGATTGGCTGAATATATGAGAGACTTATATACACTTGGACAGTTAGAAAATATGTTGCACTAGTCGTTTAACAAGCTCTCATATGACGGTAATTGATGATGAGAACTAAGTCTATTCCCCTAAGCACAAAATAGGACTCCATGGGACGTCTCTATCATTTCAGAGACATTGATCATAAAGTCTGAATCATTCGATTATGATTTTAGATTTGATGTGTAACAATTTTTTACATTCATAATGTAAAAAGAGAGATAAAAATGATTTACAAGATTAGAATTAACTACATACCAACTGACAGTCAACTCTCGCATCGAGTAGTCAACAAGAAGGACTTCCTCTACCTCAACATGTGATGGCGATTTATTTCACAATTGTTTGCAAAAGAACATTCGATCAACTAGAAGACCCTAATCTCTTAGACTAAAAATGATTTTTATGTTACATCGACAAAGCCCCGACAGATCACATGGACAGAGATGATGGGTGAGGAATCTGTAAATTGGTGGGTTATTCATCTCATCAAGGAAATTGCACATACATATCCAAATGAATTAGTCTAGTATGATATATATATCATCCGATGTTTTTCGAAACGGTAGGTCAAATAGCAGAACATCTTGAAGTCACTTTGATTCTACAGTTCATCGTGTGACGTTATCTGATACAAAGTTATAATATTCAGTAAAAGAGGCTCACTCGATTTTAACAACAGTTTTTGGCCAAGGTGCAATATTTTTTCCTCCATTATGCCATTCAGAGTACACCTCACCATTACAAAATGACTCCTTCTCTAAAGAGGTTCCATTTGTGATAGTAATAAAATACGTATTTGGAAATACATTTTTGGATGACTGACAGTCGACTGTTTGAATTAATATAGGCATAACATTGTTTGGCGAATCCGATTCATTTCCAAACCATAAACTAGGAACAGATACAGATGAAACAAATGGAGTGAAATTACACTGTGTCTTATTAGATTGATTTACACCCTTTGAATAAAATACCAGTCGTGTTGCAAACATTGGAGGTGGAATAACTGAATAAGCAAAACAACTCAACTCGACAGTATCTAAGGTGAGAAATATGGAAATAAGGAAACGAAACGAGAAGTGAAATAAGAGTTTGTTATTATAAATTGTAGCATTTCTACGTGTATTGATAAAAAATTATTGAAATAATGAACAGATATACTCATTTAGTAAAAATAATACGTCAAGAAACCTTTAAATCTTAGCGACAATCAAACAATTTTTGGAAGTTTATTTAGGTTGGACACACAAGGATTTCCTTGAAGAATGAGCAACTAAAAAAGAGTATATTTTTTTTAATCACCTCTTTGTTAAGGGAAATCTGATTACACTTAATTCTGTGTTTACTATTTCGCATATCATTTTATTGCAGGAGAAAAAGCATATTTTGTTGGATAGTTATGTAGTTTACTGATAATTTTTCACTTCAAAGCTTTGGTTTCGTAAGCAGTCAGCCCCACATTGCATTACTTTGAATTATCTAACGATCATCATTCTACTCATTACTTTAATAATCAATCAGAATTCAAATCCTTACAAACTCATTAAAAAGCTATAATCTGTAATTTTTTAATTCGAATAGTGTCGAGAAATAAGCTAGAACACATGTTCCATTCGATTGAGGATTCTTTAGCAGAATTTACCTGTATCTCTAAGTTCATGTTCATATTAATTCCGATCCGATACCTTTAGTTTCAAATGCAAACATATCATTATCCACTGGAGCTACTGGGTCCAGAAATTTAGTAACTTTTGAAGTGGATATTAATTGGATTTGTAAGGGTTTATATCATTTCTCACTGTTAATGTTGGTACATTTGCATACTGAGTAAATTGTCTCGTTTTCCCGTTACAAATTTTGATTCATGAAAGTTTTGTGCAAAAACTATTTAGTTTCAAGACATTTTTTCTTCAAACAGTATAATGTCCATCAGAAAATCAGTAAGCACTTGGAAGCACTGAACATTATTTTCTTCTAATTTAAGATTTCCTAAACAGTGGCCATCCAATTAGGCGAAGATAAATGATGATTACATTCTATCGACACATTAATCAGTAAAAAATGTTCTCAATCAGTTGGAAATAATGTTCTAACAACTGTCATATGAGTTAAGGTAGATAAAGTAATGTACTATGTACATCAGCTCACATTTGCATACGCCATGTAATCACAGAAAATGTATTATAATAAAGTAAATACAAAGTCACCTAGCATGATGATACTTCCGAACTGGTATTTTACAATTAAGTATTTCATTAATCAATTATACAAATTTAAACGGGTATAACCTTCAGCTGTTAGCACCTATAAAAACTTCAGATACTCTACATACGAACAATATGGTTTACCGGTTGTTGCAAAAATCTTATATCCAAATAGACATGAATATGACAATTAATAATTCAATTTGAAATGGTTTGGATTATTCCGTTGTCGATGTGTTTTGACTTGATTAGAATATGGGCATTCTGTGTGGGTTTTCTCGACATAACCATTATTGATACCAGTCGATATAGAATACAATCAAGACTGATCAAATTTCAGCCAAAAATATTAACAATGCGATAATTCAAACCATTTTAATTTGAATTAAATCGCATACCTGATGCATAAATGAGTGGCTATCTAAACTCAGTAACTAAGTGATTAATGCGATGGAGTTTTAAGTAAACTGTACTGGGGTTCGAGTCCCCGAGCGAAAATCAACTCTAGGATGCAGGTACATCCAGCTGACAAGTCCCAAATAGGATGAAACGCACGTCCTAGATTTCAAAGTTAGTCACATGCATTCCATCTATTTGCGATAACGAATGAATTTTAATAGTGAACAAATAGTAAAAGCATAATTAAAAGGCTTACTTCCATTGATTACTGCAACAAGACCAGAATTTAATGATGTTATTGTATTTACATTAGAATTTGTTAATATGCACGATGAATTATAAACGTTATTCATTTTCCAGCATTGCAATAACGTCTTACTGTTAACTTGATTATCATTAGGCAACGACTCATTAATTGATATAGCACAATAAAGAGCTGACAAATCTGCACTGTAAGCATGATGATCCCATGTTAATGATATATTGGAAATTTGACTATCGTTTAATGAATTGTCAGCTATACAGAAATGTTGTTTTATTGACCATTGGTAATTAGAGCAAGTTAGCAGTCGAACTGCAGACAAATTAGCAAAGAGAGATAGAGACTCCGATATATACGTTTCATCTTTAAGTGATGTAAATATGTTGATGAAGCGTTTACTATTCAAGTGGCAATAGAAAAATATGTGATAGAAAAAAAACGGTACCAATAATCGTTATTACTTACTTACATCTATTACCCCTCGTGGAGGAGCATAGGTGCCCACAACTATTCTCTATCCAGTTTCGTCCTGGGCAGTCCTTTCTATTTGCTATTCGTCCTTTTCATGTCTGATTCCAATTATCGACGCAGTGTGTTCTTCGGTCTTTCTCTTTTCCGTTTCCCTTCAAGACTCCAGATAAGCACTTGCCTCGTGATGCAGTTTGATGATTTCCGTAATGTATACCCTAGCTATCTCCAACGTCTTTTCCTAATTTTCTCATCAGCTGGAAGCTGGAGACTTTAATCGCCAGCTTCATGGCGTTATGAAGTTGCAACCAATGCTCATCTATACTTTTCGGTGGAATGGTAGCTAGCCTAGAAGCTAGCTCGGTTCGATACTTACTAGCAACAGAAGTTACAATCAACTTGCTGACATCAATCCTTTGGTGGCAGTCACTTCGTTGGCCATTGAAAAATAAGGTGAGATTGGCGCAGACCAGAGTTCAGATAGGTACTCCAAAAGGAGCAGCAGTCTTGTACACAACCACGCCAGCGGTAGCTGATCGCGATGTGATCAATCTGAATCCAGGCTTGAGAATCAGAGGGAAGACGCCAGGTGGCACATCGGCGATGAATGTGCCAGAAGTTAGTGTCAGCCAGAAACAGGTTGTGGTCTGAGCACGGTGGCAGTAGACGGTCACCATTATCTGACTTGCGACCAACAAGTCCCTATCGGCCACCTAAACGACTCTCTTCTGTGCCTAGACGACCGACCTGAACATTCAAGTCTTCGGCTAGTACTACAATATCTGTCAAACGCACTTTCTGGAGAACAGTTAATTGATGGTAGAATTCATTCTTGATTGCATCCGGGCTGCAATCTATCGGGGCATAGGCGGAGATAACGAAAAGACATCGTTTTTCACACCTATTTCTTCTCACTTTGATGGAACTTCCTAATCTAACAGCACATAACCGACTGTTAATGGGGATCCCATCGATTAGTGCTGCCTCAGCTCTATCGCTTAGTGCGACACCAACGCCAGCAAGACCAGACGAAGATGCCACAGGGTCCCCGGATAAACGCTCGTAAAACAAGCCTTTTGAGGCGACAGATGGAGAGCGAATTCGTAGTACTTCACTAAAGTCTTGAATACGGGTCTCGGTCTCGGGTAGGCAGCAAATGTCGATATTAAGACTTTCTAAAGATATATCCAGCCCTATCTGTTGTCCGATTTGGATTAGTGTGCGAACGTTGAAGGAAGCTAGTTTGAATGGCGTACGTGGTTTCAGAAAGACTGTTTCAGTATTTGTATTCGGTGAAAGCATCCAACTCCCGACCAGGCAGTGACTCGAGATCGTTTAGATAGAACAGTTTCCACCATGGGCGAGCTGCTGTATAAGTTGAAAAATGGGAATATTTGAAGTGAGAATAAACAGTGATAAGTGATGTAGTATATATATCATCTCGAGGTCTCTAACCAGGTAGTCTACACCTACCAACATGACTCAGTTCACTTGTCAGTGACTTTATGGACTTGTGACAAGTTTTGGTTTGGCCGCCCCTAGCTTTCTTCCAACCTACTCCTATACCACTGAACATAACACGTCGAGGTAGTCGGTCGTTGGGCATACGTAACACGTGTCCCAGCCATCTCAACTGATGAAGTTTTACTACTTCATCAATTGATTTGCCATCCTTACCTAGTACTCGTTTCCTAACAACTGCACTACTTACTCGATGGTCCCAGGATATACGAGCAATGTTTCGAAGACACCTATGATCGAATACTAGTAGCCTACGAATATCCTCTACTCTCGCCGGCCACGTTTCATTGCCATAAAGTAGGACGAAACGAACTGCTGCACAGTAAACAAGTCCTTTGGTTCATAGACGGATATTTCGCCTACGCCATAAATGACGCAAGTTGGCAAAAGCTAGTCGAGTCTTCTATATCCGTGCTGAGATTTCGTCACACACCAGACCACAAGGGCTGATGAGACTTCCAAGATAAGTGAAGCGGTCGACACGCTCAACTACTTCACTCCCTATCATTAGTTCGGTTGTCGATGCAACCCAATCCTGAAGCAACATTTTGCATTTCGAGGGGGGAAATCGCATCCCGAACATGCTTGCATTTGTGCTTAGAGTGGTCAGAAGACTCTACATTTTGTCAGCGTCTTCGCCAAATAAAACTATGTCATCAGCATATTCTAAGTCAACAAGTGAACCTCCTGGTAGGAGTTCAACCCCTGTAAATTTAGATGAGGAGTGTTATCTCTAAAAGTACGTCAATGACAAAGTTAAACAAGAATGGAGAGAGTGGACAGCCCTGACGAACACCACTTGAGGTAATCAATTCTGATGACAGTTCGCCATAAGCTCTCACTCTACCAGTTGTGTTCGAGTAGAGAGCTTTTATAAGGTTAATGTACTTGTTTGATACTCCTTTCAGTGACAAACACTGTCATAGAACCTTACGATCAACAGAGTCAAGTGCCACCTTAAGGTCGAGAAATACTACGATTGTGGGGCGTCTGAATGGGTGTCTGTGTTCTAGAACCTGACGTAGTGTGAATATGTGGTCTATACAACCACGTCCAGGTCGAAAACCGGTCTGATTTTCATTAATCTGCTCTTCACGTGCTTTGGTTAGGCGTCAAAGTATTATTGAAGCTAATATTTTAGACACTATATTAGTCAAATTGATTCCTCTGTGATTGTCACAAGGGGACTTTTTTCCTTTCTTATAGACTGGCACAATCAGTGATTGAGACCAGTCAGATGGGATTACGTCCAATTCCCTAATTCTACCTAAGACCTCGGTTAATCTCATTGCTAATACTGGACCACCATCCTTAAAAATCTCAGGAGTAAACGTGTCAGGGCCTGCTGCTCTCCCTCGCTTCAGATTTCCTATGGCTTTTTCAACTTCGTAAAGAGACGGAGGACCTACATTAACTTGCCATTCAGGTTGACTGGAGATCGTGGGTAACCGAAGTGTGGCTGAAGGCCAGTTGAACTGATCCCTAAAGTGTTCTGCCCATAGATCCAATTTCCGAGATTGATAATGTATAATATGTCCATCTTTCTCTGAGATTGTTTCGCTAACAGTCGGTTTCCTAATACCGGTTTCCTTAACGAGTCTGAACAATTGTCTGCTATTACCTATTGCTGCTGCCTTTTCCATCTCTCTTGCTTTCGCTACTCACCACTGTTCACGATTATTGCGTAGGCTTCTTGTCAGCTTGCGCTTAAGCTGACTCCACTTTTCGTTATGTTCAGAGCCAGATGGAATGAGTTTTCGAGCATCTATCAGTGCGGTAGATGCTGCTGAGATCCAGTGTTTCCCCCTAACCTTCTGGTTTACCTTACTAGCATATATCATTGTTGTTTCCACAGCTTTTCGGATATCATTCCATGCTGCCTCGGGGTGGGCATCACCAGCATGGCTGCCTAACTGTTTTTCTAGTTGTTCCTGAAATATACTCTTAGCTTGACTATCATTAAGTAGGCTCCTAAGAGGTTTCCTTTCAGCGTCTTTCTTACGTCCAGTCAGACGTAGGCAAATACGCGCTCGCATTAGGGCATGATCTGAAAATGAGCATGTGCTCCAGAATGAGCGAGAGTCTTCTATCGAGCCTCTCCACCGGTGGCTGATAGCGATGTGATCTATTTGGGTCCAACGTTGGGAAGAATTCGGGGATCGCCATGTTAAAACATGTTTTTGCTTATGCTTAAAGTTAGTGTTTGCAAGGAACAGGCATAACTGCATAACTGCAACAGACGGTCGCCATTATCTGTTCTTTGAGCCACAATGCTATAACATCCACCCAGGTGTCTTTCCTTTTTAATTAATTTACTTACTTGAGCATTAGTCACTAGCCACTATTACTACATCAGAGCGCCTAACGTTTCGGAGAAGGTTGGGGAGCTTTCTGTAAAACTCATCTTTTACATCATCTGAGCTGTAGTCAATAGGAGAGTAGGTAGAGACGACGAAGAGGCAACGACGAGTGTCCCTATCTTTCCGGATTCTTACTGTTCCGTTCAGTCGGACAGCGCACAAACGGCTGTCTATTGGGATCCACTCTAAGAGAGCTAGTTCAGAGCTAGGATTCAATGCTATACCTACGCCGGCGAGGCCACGGGAAGCACAATCAGGGCTTCCAGATACACGAAGCGTAAATCGAGTCAGTTCTTTATTTTGGCATGGTGAGGTCAAATGAATGACGCTACTCGGATCCTGTATGCGCGTTTCGGAGACACAGCACACATCGATGGCGCGAGATTCTAAAGTTCTAGTTAAGGAAGCCTGTTGTCCTATTCGGCACAGTGTTCGGACGTTGAAAGCTCCTACGTGTAGTTTAGAGCGTGGTTTCAGGAGACCAGGAATAACGTTCCGCGTACTCGAATCGTTTGTCCTAGCGGTGCTAGGTGATAAAGGGACGTGAGAAGGGTTAGTCGGGGAGATAAGAGAGGTATTCGGAAGTGTAGGAAGGATTTGAATGTGACCAACTTGGTCTCGTGTTCTGTTACGGGTCAGTCAGTCAGCTACAACGTAGGACCAGGCACATATATGCATCGGTCCAGGTTGCCATACCTCATTAGCACAGCAAGATGAACACCGGATTCATAGGAGTGGTTAGGTCAAAGGTGGTAATATATAGGAGAAAGATTGCATATAAGGATCTAGTATAGGAAGAAAGAATTAGTTCGTAGAAAGAAATATATGAAGTGATTTTAATCTATTAGTTTAAGGGAAGACAGGGAGTGTATGCACAGACGCCATTGTGATCGATTCTGAGCCATGTCACCAAGAGTCTCCAACCATTGGTTACGAAAGTCACGCGGACCCCAACCAAGTAGTCTGCATCTACCAACATGGCTCAGACTAGAAGTTAGTGACTTCAGGCACCGATACCGCATTTTGGTTTGGCCACCCCTAACTTTCTTCCAACCATCCCCTACACCGGTTAGCACTGCACGTCGTGGTAATCGGTGTTCAGGCATACGTAATACGTGGCCCAACCATCTCAGTTGATGAAGATTAATAACCTCATCAACTGATTTACCATCATTCCCTAATACCCTGCGTCTAACCTCACTATTACTTACCCGGTGATCCCAGCAGATGCCAGCAATATTTCTAAGGCATCTGTGGTCAAATACTAATAGCTTACGGGTGTCTTCTACTCTTAAGGGCCATGTTTCGCAGCCGTAAATTAAAACAGAACGGACTGCCGCGCAGTATACTCGTCCTTTTATTAATAGACGGATATCTCGCCTTCGCCAAAGGTGACGAAAGTTGGCAAAAGCCAAACGAGCTTTTCGAATCCGTGCTGAGATTTCGTCAGACACCAACCCATTAGGGCTGATCAGACTTCCAAGATAAGTGAAGTTGTCAACGCGTTCGACCACTTCACTACCTATCCTTAGTTCAGGTGTTGACGCAGACCAGTCCTGAAGCAACGACTTGAATTTCGAGGGAGAGAAGCGCATTCCAAACATTCTGGCATTGTTGCTCAGTGCTACCAGAAGATTCTGCATTTTGTCAGCGTCTCCACCAAACAGGACTATATCATCTGCGTTTTCTAAGTCGATAAGTGGACCTCCTGGTAGGAGATCAATACCCGAGAATTCAGTCGACGAGAATGTTACGGGTATGAGGGCTGGTGTCACTTCCCGGCCGCCTTCACCGTGGAAGGGTGTTTCTTGAGGAAACTGAAAAGGAAGATGAATTAATGTTGGTTTTAATGACCTGAGAGCGTGACCACAGAGCCCAGGGGACAACTGCTTGAGGCCGGTCGCGCACGGCCTTTTCGTGGAAGGTTTTTGAGGTGTTAGCTCCGTTCTTCAAGGGGTCTTACCGCAGGAGACGGAAATCTCTGAGGTAAGGTGAGGTGTGACATTTTTAGAGTCAACCTTTTCTAACCCCTTTCTTCCTTGTGAGAAGGCAGCACCGCTGTAGATGCTAGTTGTCTGAGGGAAACACTTTACTGCTGTCACACCCCTCTACAGTCAGCAGTACGACTTCGACCTCAGACCTTGAGTTGCTGCTTTTAGTCTTACCGTTCTCCAATCGACCTGTCTGGCATGGTAGAACCTACAGGAACATATGTTTCAGCCAATATAGCTCGGACGGGTCATCACGATAGGCAAACCCGACCACCGCGTAAAGGTAGCAGCTACGGTCGGGCCACAGCTCACCTCAACAGGTGATATTCGTTGGTGTAGGAGTAGGCTGGAAAGAAGCTAAGGAGAATCAAACCAAGACATTACATCAGTCGATGAAATCACCCACTCTGGTATTGAGCTTTGTTGATAGGTTTGAACTACATGGTTGAGCTTCGCGTAATAAACGCTGTCAAATATGACTTAAAGAAAAAGCCAGCAGTGCTTCTATAATTTTCTATTACACTTCATAAAAAGTTATATGAACTTCCCTAACTGAAAAAAGCTTTCCTTGGCTGCATTATCAGTTGAACAGTATATTTTATCAAATACAATTCTGACTCACGTATTGACTGTACCACAGTTTCCTACTTTATTTCTTCACAATACTATTGATTGATTTCTGTGATGCATTATTTTAGTGTCATGTTGTACCAGAATTTATGCTTTAAAAGAAATAAGTAGATTTCCTAACTGTGCAAATATTCTGATAAATGTTCTTATTTTATACTTGTTCTAACTAAACGAGTACAAATGCTAATTGTCTTATGCATTCATATACATCCAATCATTCAGTAATGAAATACTGTAAAATTCATGGAAAACTACCACATTAGTTATCTCTTCATCTATTCTTTGGAAGAACAAAAGGAGATTACATTATAATTCATACATGAAACATACGCGTGTACGCATAAATACGCGATATAAAAAATGTCATTACAGAGGAATCCACTGCAACATTACATATTTTGTACTGAAAATCCTTTAATGTAACCAAACGTGGTGAATATCATTACTAAGGTTTGACTTGATAATTTTAAATAAATTGACAAGTGAGTGGATTTTTAATAGCAATAACAAAAATAACAATATATAGTAGAAATCCAATTTCCTGTTCACTATTATTAGCAACACCGGTTGAATAAGAGTATTGTTATTGGCAAGACACAGAGTCAACCTATCAAGTCATTGATTGTTAGTCTAAACTATGATAGTAAATGCAGACTAACTGGTTGTGATCTGCGTGATCACTACGATCAGTGCCTGAAGACTTAGGGTGATATAGCTCAGAATCGTTCATGATGGCACATATGTATCCATTATCTATCTTCTCAATTTTGAATTTCAATATTCCTATATATATATTTTTCACCCAATCTTTTTAAATTATATCATCAATGTTTGGCCTTTGTTTTCTTTGATTGCTACTATAAATTAGTTTAGATCACTGAATAGCATCAATTAGTCAATCATAGAAAGCTAGAGAGCACTGGTTAGGGGGGTATTATCATAGTATGCGATTTTTCAGATAGGTAGTTGCGACCTTTATCAGGGATCAAACACAAAGATTTTGAAAGCTCGTGGTGAGCGCTATACTTTGGATTCACTACTGAGCTGACATTCAGTGATTCATATTTTTTCCAGTCAGACTGTTCCTACAAGTGACTACCCATCCCAATTAACAGTTTTAGGTTTAGTAATAATAAAATTCATCCTGATCTACATAAATGACCTACGCTCAACAGGAAACATACATAAAATGTTTGTAATCTGTCCAACAAAGTATTTTACATGCATCATTTTCGTTAGCAAAAAGGTGCATTTGAAATTAGGCACAGAAAAATACGAATTAGTAAATTTTGAGATTCTCATTCTACTGAATATTAATAACACTTACTAAACCATGGATGGTTTTGAGTTCCACTACACAGTACTGCCAAAATTGAACCGGTCGGATTAAACATAATAGATTCCACTTGGTAAAACTTTTCAGATTCATCACCGATCAGTTCGAATTCTCCATGACGTTGGGAGTTCGATTCAAAAAATATGATATCCAATCCACGACCTTCTCGACGTTGAGTCGTTGTGATTAATTGAACACGAGGTCTGAGGTTTTATAGAAATATCACGGTATAAGTTTATGGGTATACTATACATGGATTTTATTACACTGGGGATTGTTTAGGCTGTGAAATCTTAGCCACTGTTATGTGACATTGACAAGTGTTAATTAGAACTAAGCCCACGTAAGGGAATACCAGTTGATTTTACCCAGTTACTGAGCACTAGTTACAACACTTTTGACTGCAAAAAATCTTACACAATCAAACCACAAGAAGTGAAACCATATAAAATTCGATTTCATCTATTTAACCTGATGATTGAGATAATACATTAATATGAACCTAGAGGAACCAACAATTAACTGATAGTCGATAACAATTAAAAACTAACCTGAGTACACAAAAAGAGATCACCTTAAAATAAAGCGGAAAAAATAACAAAGAAAACGATGAAATTAATCTACCTCCAACAAAGTCCTGGAGAAATCATATTCGTTATTTCAGTTGTTGAAAACAATTCACCAGTATCATTGTAGACGCGTATACGTCTACGATTCTCTGTTAATGGATCAATCCATGATACGGCGAAGTAAAGACCATCATCACGCCATGCAATTTCAAAACGACCATCATCATATTGAGTGTTTGAGACTGGTACAGTCTGATGTGAAAACAAAAATAAATGGATGGTGTCTTGATCAATATGTATAGAGTAACTAAATTTAATACGTTTACTGAAATAATTACTAAGATCTAGACACAAGATGTGGCTAAAAACAGAATACTTTATACCAGAATTTTCCTCAATTTGAATATTTCCTTGCATTACATTCCGTATTTTATCTACTTTTTTGGTTAAAACGCAATAAAGCACACTAGCCATGTGTTTCTGGATATATTTTTTTGGAGACACCAAGAAGTTGCGACTACTAATCGCTATTCGATTATCTGCGAAACTTGAAAAAGGAAACATTGTATCTGATAAGTTACGATATTTACTTAAAAATCACGGTTGCCTACCTCTCCGTTTAGCGCGAACCATAGAATTCCCTTCAATTGATAATTTATTTGCTTGTAAAAAACGTAAGAAGTAGATCTAGGGCAAGTAAGTGGATATCTTGATACTGTATGATTTCTTAGTGGTCTGATCGGTTAATTAAAACGATTATTTCTTTCGATGGATAGGTCCATTGACAAGTTTTTATGTGGAGAGGGGATTAGAAAAGGATAAAAAATGAACTGTACACTTCGGAGGGAATGTAACCGTCAAGTGGTGGCTTATTTGTTAAAGCATTCAGCCAACCAGCGCGTTGCATGTTCGGACTTCGATTAACCTAATTCGGTCTTACTTACAAGGTTGCAGTTTTACTAACTCACACAAACATCATGTCAACTAAATAAACCTGTAATTGATAAACAGGTATATATTAGTACTTATTTATTACACAGGAAGGTGAATTGAATAGATAGAAAACCTTTTCATGATTTGAAATTGTGTCTAGAACTGTTCCACTGGTTGATAACCAACTCATTTCAACATATAGTGAAGCCATAAATATTTACACGTAAATGAGATCAGTCATTACTGATTTTATTAACCATAACAATTAACAATCAACTGCTGACCGGTGGTAAAAAGCACTTAATTTAAAACTATCTACAACACCGGGTACAATGTTCACTTAGGAATTACTTCATTATAGTTCTGTCATAGCACACAGAGAATTAAGTGGCAATCTAAATTCAACTGATATTAGTCCACATTTAAATATTAACGGATCATGCAAGAAGTCATTTTTAATCACAAGCAATTCACCTTATACTTTTTCATACAATAGGGTGTTTTGCTTCATTAGAGAAAGCAGAATGAACTGAGGATTTAATGGTCAATTCCAATATTTGTTCGATTTAAAGAAATCAGTAGTTATAACAAACAGGTAATCAATCATCTTGCATCATTCACTGGCCAGTATGTTGCATATTTTAAGAACTGAACGGTGCTTACAGTAAAAAGTCAAAACAGTCCTTCATAGTTTTGTTCATCTTTATTGAAGTTTTTATGCTGAATATGCTTACTCCCTACAGTAGAAGATAAAGCAACTCAAGTTGAAAAAATCGTTTTGTCAATTAAGCACGCCTAAAACAAAAGCTAGAAAGCGATCCTATCACAAAGCACATTAATCATTCGTGTCGTTGATATTATTAAAAAGACAAGTGAAACGAAGTTCATTAAGTATGCATTCACTTGCTTGGCTTTGGGTTACAATTAGTGATTGAGGGCTATCAAGGCCTAGGTAGATGCAGGAAGATTCGAACCTGTAAACTAATAGTTGAAGACCAATTGTTTTAATTGGTAATACACTAAACTAGGAAGGGTGTGTTGATTTGTGCTGTTATATTTAAAGCCAACACATTGAAAAGGAAAATTTATAAGTGGAACGAATATGTTAGAAAGTATTACGGTCAGTAGTAGAAATGAGTTCAAAAAGACAAAATAGAACAAAAATCATGTTAAGCGAGACTATTTTTCAACCACTAATTGTGATAATTTGATGGATTTGACAACATAACTCGGACAAATACTCAGAGACTTTATGAACTTATCTGTCTTGGCCAGACCACTATCGGATATTTTTTCATCTATTTATATGCTAACACCGTGTCAGTAATCGCAAAGTTCGACATTGTGTTCGGGCATAATAACTATTAGTGCTAACATATTGGAACACTGGCTTCGGGGGCTTATAAGTGTCATCTGGGACTGACTGTAAAAAGAGGAAGTGACCTCTATATGACACCAAATATAGCTGCATAAGACTGACGTCTGTCGGTTTATCACAGCTCCTTGATTGAGGTTTTAGGTATCATGCTACTAAGTAGCCTAAGAATTATCAGACATAGAACAGACTAGAAGTGTCAATCTTGGTGTAAATTTTCGACGTTAGGATGAACCTTATTAGCTCAGCAAAATTAATTTTGTTTTAAAGTTGGATAGTGACCAGCTGTGGAATTCCTCACAAACCCTTAAAAATAAAACTAATCTCCGTTGTATTTTAAACAGACTAGTATCTTTTTATGAAACACTATTCTTTCTCTATTTATTGATTAGATGACCTTTTACTTTTTTATTTCCCTACAACATTATGATGTAACTGTGTGGTGCGTTTTTGGTGTTATGCCAGAATTTTTGTACTGTGATGCTGGTTGTGGAACACTTGGTTAAGACTGCTAAAAAAAGGACAAAGTCAATGCTAACATATACTATCGTGAGTCATGAAGACGAGTCGATTTCGGTGTGTTGAAATGATAGACCACTTACTGGATGGTTTTCCTAATAGCTCAAGACCGACTATTATGGTGGAGATATATCTCATTTGTAGCTTTGCTTAAATTTTGTTGGGTTTTACTGGCTTTATCTAGTCATTTTGTTTTCACTAGTCATCTCCCGACCGTAGCTGCTACCTTTACGCGGTGGTCGGGTTTGCCTATCGTGATGACCCGTCCGAGCTATATTGGTTGAAACATATGTTCCTGTAGGTTCTACCATGCCAGACAGGTCGATTGGAGAACGGTAAGACTAAAAGCAGCAACTCAAGGTCTGAGGTCGAAGTCGTACTGCTGACTGTAGAGGGGTGTGACAGCAGTAAAGTGTTTCCCTCAGACAACCAGCATCTACAGCGGTGCTGCCTTCTCACAAGGAAGAAAGGGGTTAGAAAAGGTTGACTCTAAAAATGTCACACCTCACCTTACCTCAGAGATTTCCGTCTCCTGCGGTAAGACCCCTTGAAGAACGGAGCTAACACCTCAAAAACCTCCCACGAAAAGGCCGTGCGCGACCGGCCTCAAGCAATTGTCCCCTGGGCTCTGCGGTCGCGCTCTCAGGTCATTAAAACCAACATTAATTCATCTTCCTTTTCAGTTTCCTCAAGAAACACCCTTCCACGGTGAAGGCGGCCGGGAAGTGACACCAGCCCTCATACCCGTATCAGAACACGAGACCAAGTTGGTCACATTCAAATCCTTCACTACTCATTTTTGAAATTTCAGTTTTTGCTATCATCATATGGTGGGGCTACTTGAAATGGTTTAGTTGTGGATATAGATTGCATAACAAATAGTTATGTGTGCAAATTTTTTACTAAGGTAAGTGTTTTCATAAACGAACCTAGAGATAACAACAATCAATTAACAGCGGACCCAATTTCCTCATTTCGGCAAACCCCTATAGACCCAAGCTCCCAACTTTAGAATGAATTTTAGGGCAACTCAGCTACAAATCTATAACTTAAAAGCACGCTATTTAAAAAGGACAGTGGTATTCTTTCTCGTTGAGTTAATTAACTGTTTTGATCGTAAATTACGCATCGAAACTACTGTTTACACTTTAATTGCATCTACCCCAGTTAAAGTGATATTTTATTGAGTTTTTCGATTTTGCTTCTGTGTATTTATTGCATCGAAGCATACTTGGTCGACTTTTACTTGGTTTATTTAGTTAAGGTTTGAAAATCCTTCTACATATCCTGTTTTCGTCACCGTTCTAGTTGATTTTCAAGATGGCTAGGTCTACTCATAAATGTGGACAACCATACTGCTTATTTCCCGTGGATGAAGGGATGCAATGTGATGAGTGTAATAAGATGTGCACCCGATTAAGCCCCACTGCATATAAAAGGTGTTCAAAGCCCAACTCTCATTGGCTTTGTAGTTTTTGTTGCTCGAGCAAAACATTGCTTATCCAGGAAGCAATTAGTCTCCTGGTGTTGGCTAATAAGAAGGTTGATGAGGGCTGTACTGATAACATTGGTACGGATGGCGAAGATTGCGTTAGTGTCGTAAGTGCTATCACGGCGCAAGCCAGACATCTACCTGTGCAACCCACAGTTAAACGTTCTCCCCCGAAACGATCAGTGAGTGACACGTCATTAGACGTTGGTGGCCATATTGCTACAGCAGCAACCGGTGACCCAGATAAAACAATTACTGTCCCGAGTTGTTCTAATGTAGACGTTTCGACTGATGGAAAATGGATGACGCGAAAACGCAGAAGAGTAGGAAAGATAGCTAAAACTAATGACTGTTTACTTGGTAAGTCCTTGGTGGACTCTCAGACCAATCCGCCAAAGTCTCATAGTAAAGCTTCGTCTGACATTGTTGTGAGTCATTCGCTTGACTCCCAGGACTCTGTTAAAATAAAAACTAATCGTAAGCTACCAGTAGTTAAAATACAGGATCTAACGTCACGGTCGAAAGCTGTGAACACAGTTTCAAAAGAAGCTAAACCCATCCCTAGTTTAATTATTTGGAATCTAGAGGAGTCGAAAGACAACGACCCTGCTAAAAGACACGCACATGACCTACAGTTAGTGGAGTCTGTGGTCAGGAATGTACTACCTGAAGAGGTTTCAGAGGTACATATTACAAAAGTAATACGACTTGGTAAATGGGTTGGAGGCGAGACCCAACCAAGAAGGATCCTGAAGCTGGTTCTCGGGAGTTTCGAAGAAAGAGACATATTATTGAAAAGCGCACAAAAAACTCGTGCCTCAAATATCCGTATTCGACCAGATTGGCCGCTTGAGGATCGAATTAAGTGGAAGAATGCTCTTACGGAGTTGAGGACTCGCAAATTAAATGGCGAAAATAACCTTACCATTAAGGGTTTTCGGGTAGTCAGGTCTTGGAAGCCAATGCTTCCGAGGCCTGTATGGGTAGAACGATTGATTTCCAAAACACCTTAAGTGTGTGCTACAAGAACGCTCGTAGTCTTAGAAATAAAACGTCCGAGCTAAGTCTGATGGTGGAAGAATTATGTCCCGATATAGTCGTTGTTACAGAAACTTGGTTCACAGTAGATATAGTCTGTTCTCCTTTCATTGCTGGTTATATCTCTATCAGAAGTGATAGAGTTTCGAGTCGCAAAGGGGGAGGTATAATATTATACGTTAGGGATCACTTTCGTATACAATCATCCATATCGGAGGCTCATATCAGTGGCACATGTAAGGTTGCATGTTGTAAGATTAAATATAGAAATGGGTTATTGACTATAGGGGGAATATACCGTAGTACGTTTTGTCTTGCTGGCGACTTTATCCTAAGACACATCTGTTCTTGGAGTATGGCAGAATGTTGTCTCATCATTGGGGACTTCAACGCACCGCATATCAACTGGATAGAGCTTACAGCTCCAGGTAGTGGTTTCGATAGCGACCTTTTATCTACCATTATTCAGTATGCACTTGTACAATGTATCACAAAACCGACACATTGATTTCAACCATGATCCGTCACTGCTGGACCTCGCCCTCACCCACCACTGTGAGGATGTCTTTGATATTCAGCACCTTCCCCCACTAGTGAACAGTGATCACTTAATTCACTTTAAGTTTAGGATACGTGGTATACAATTCGTATCTGCTCCACCCCGTCCCAATATCTGGCGAGCTAATATTCCGGAAATCAGAAACCGTGCTATCTCGACCGATTGGTCGGTCGACGCGGATGGATTGATCGAAGATGAATGGAATAAGTTTAAGGCTACATTCGAGTCCGTAACGTCGCCGTTTATCCCATGGTCAGCACGTAAGCTATCACATTGCTCTCCACGGATTAATAAGGAAACCCGGAAGCTGTTAAAGCGTAGGAAACATTTCTGGGACTTATTCTTGTTGACAGGTCATGCAACATTTAAGCGTGAGTATCAAAAATACCGTAATATCTGTAAGAAAACCATAGCGAAATCCCGTACCACTTACGAACGACAGTTAGTATATGATAGCCGTACTTGTCCGAAACGATTGCTTTCGTATGTTAAACGGTGAGTGAAACGTAGTGATGGTATTCCCCCGTTGCTGTTACACGAAAGTTCAGAATTACTAGCTGAATCAGATCGAGCAAAAGCTGAGACTTTTTCAGATTATTTTAGCGAAGTCTTCTCTCCGTTTATTGTAACAAATACTTGTACCACTCACACCGAGATACCAACCATTGAATCCGTACAGGTGACTGAGGAAACTGTCCTTCCGTTGATAACTAACCTCAAACCTGGTAAGGTACCGGGCCCTGACGGGTTACATCCACGGTTGCTGTCATCTCTTGCGGACATTATTTCGAAACCGCTTGCGACACTCTTCAACATGTCCCTCTCACTCGCCCAACTCCCTAGAGATTGGAAGGACGCTATAGTTAGTCCTATATTTAAGGACGGTCAGCGACAGATAGTATCTAACTACCGGCCTGTCAGTCTAACTAGCATAGTAGTTAAGTTACTCGAAAAGATAATTCGGGTTAGGTTGCTAAGCCACATAGATTTACACAATCTGTTAGCTCCTGAGCAACACGGATTTCGTAACAAGCGTTCATGCTTGACTAACTTGCTTATTGCGAGGGAGGATTGGACAGCAGCCCTAGATCACGGTTTGTCTGTCGACGTGATATTCATAGATTTTAGCAAAGGGTTTGACAAGGTTTCACACATAGGTCTTATGCAGAAGCTCACGAGCTTCGGAATAATAGGTACTGTACATGAGTGGATAGGAAATTTCTTATATGGCCGCAGACAGAGAGTTAGGGTCAATGGAACGCTATCCGATTGGAAGCCGGTCAAAAGTGGTGTACCCCAAGGCACCATCTTAGGCCCTCTGCTCTTCCTTCTCTACGTTAATGAGTTGCCACTGTTACTTAGGTCGTCGACATTATTGTTTGCAGATGATGTAAAAATCTGGAGAACAATAAAAAGTGCGGCTGATCATCTGGATCTTCAAGCTGATTTAGACGATTTAGTTAGATGGGCTCGAGAGTGGGGCTTAGAAATTAATGCTAGGAAGTGTACTAATGCACGTCGGTCACGGTAATAGTTACCGTTACACTATTGAGGGTAAACCTCTTCCATGCGTTCAAGAGCATAAGGACTTAGGAGTAATATTAAGTCATGACTTAAAAACAACTGCGCATTGCAAAGCAGCCGCTGTCAAAGGTTTTCGTGCGTTATGGTCACTTCGCCGAGCGTTCAAATCTTTTGACGAGGAAACGTTTCGAATTTTATACCCCATATATGTTAGACCACATTTAGAGTACTGTATCCAAGCAGCTAGCCCGTGTCTGGTAAAGGATACTAACTCCCTTGAGCGTGTCCAGCGTGTGGGAACGAAATTAGTGAAGGGTCTTTCTAGTCTCCCTTACGATGAGCGCTTAAAACGCCTAAATCTTTTCCCCTTGTCGTATCGTAGGACACGAGGTGACCTTATACTGGCATTTCGTATCTTTAATTATGATTTGGGTGTTAATATGTCTTATCTTTTTGCTCCCTCCAGCACTAATAATCTCCGAGGTCACAGCAAGAAGGTTCATAAACCACGATCTAATAAACTTAAAGTGGGATCCCGTTTTTCTCATCGAGTAGTCAATCATTGGAACGCCTTACCCGAACAAGTGGTATCAGCCCCATCAGTGAATACTTTCAAGGAAAAGCTGGACCTTCACTGGAAAGCAATGTGTCAGGATTAACACAGGTTCATCAACCTACTATTCTTATTACTGAAGACTGAAGACTTTACCTGGGTCTGAGATTTCCTAAGAATTTACCCAGATTCGCCAGAAAAATCCCCACTTTGAGAAAGGGAAAACATATTACGGAAGACAAGAGACCCATATTTACCAGAAGTTATCCATAAATAAAACAAATAAAAAGATTGTGCAGCCATTAAAGGGACTCAAGAAAACCTATGAAACCAAAAAGCACGATAAATAGTTCATAAGCTAGTAAGTGAACCCTAATCCATACCGGTTTTGCTAAAGCTGCTTCCTTGCCTTCAGAGCCATGAAACTGAGTTTCTTTCTTACCCCAACCTAGAGAAACTGGCAGAGCTGAAGGGAGTTCATAGTAATAATAAATACCTACCCGACCCGAAACCTTCCTCGTACAGTGAAAAGTTGGATATAGTTTCGAGAGTTGAAGAAAGAATATGAATAAAACCATCACCTGAAACTCTTTTGTTGTAAACCTACTTACCAGTTATGACAACCGTTTTTGAAAGATCTGGAGAAATACGTATAGCTTTTAATTCCGTGTTGAGATCAAGTTTTTCATAAATCTGCTTGCTATGATAATACAAAACAACATACTTGGTGATTTAGTGAATGCCAAAGAAATATTCCATTGGAACTTGCAACCAAGTATACAGGTGGAGATATCGCAAAACAACTATGTATCTCTTGTTGGGTACCTTGAGCATGGTAAGTATTTATCTAATTACATATGTTTGTTGAGTCTCAAAAGACCTACCCCCGTGCTACTAATCACCTCAATACTTCTCTCAAAAGAAACAGTGATGTTATTAGAGCAGTCATCCAAAGAAATATGACGTATGCTGTGACCTTCCAGCCACAAACCACCACAACTCGACAGATTGAGGTTACGCATGTTCTCGGGAATTTCACTTTGCCTCCACTACTTGACCAAGACAAATAGTATAGACAGTTTGCAAACTATTTCCAAGGTCAACAAGCCTGGGTTTTCAGTCTTCAGTAATAACGATAGGAATTCTATCGACCTATATTAATCCTTGTAGTTTGCAAAACTGTGGAGGTTTAATCTCGTTTTGAATATATCAACAGAAGGTGCTGATAATACGTGTTTTGATAGAGAATTCCATTAATTCACTGCTCGATGCGAGAAACGAAACTCTAGCCGTAGATGATTTGATCTCGGTTTTCGGATTTTCTTGGATTGTCCTCTCAAGTGACCAGTCCTAGACGTAGGGAAAAGATATAACATTAGTACCAAAGTGATTGTTCAGTATACGACAAGCCAATAATAGGTCACTCCGTTATCTGCGATAAGACAAGGCAAATAAGTTGAGGTGTCTCAGTCTGTCTCCATAAGATAGGCCAGAGAGACCTTTTGCCATTTTAGTTCCTCGTCGTTCAACTCGTTGCAGCATAACTACCTCATACTTGAAACAAGGACTCGATGCTTGAATCCTATATCCTACATTAGGTCTCACGAAAGTCAGATACAAATATTTCTTTGTTCAAGCAGTGGAAAGACCTACGAATAACTCATAATAGCCTAAGGTCTTTGGCAACAGCGAATGGTATTTTGGCGGGGGGTATTCGGACCCAGGACCTTCGATCGTGTGCACGAATGCCCAACCACTAAGCCGTCATCCGACTGTATCTTTCAACCTCCAAGATAGAATAACACTTGGTTAAAGAAGCCTCTCTGAATTACAGATACATTATTAACTGAAGTTACCATCTGATACGCTGTTTTTCATTGATACCTTGTTGTTGAGCTTTACGTTTTGTAACTTCTCGCAAAACGTGTTCCCGGTCTGTCGGTCTAATCACTGAACACATAAGCAAGTGACACGGGTACAGCATTTTCTGTTGTTTATGACGTGAAATGTGACAGATTCGAGGGTAAATGTTATCACCTTTGTGCTGATCACAAAATGCTTGCTCACAGTAGACCCAGCCAACTTAGGTGTGATTGAATGTGTTTTTCTATTAACACGAACGTCTGAGAGACGGTTGAAAATATTATCATCTTACCAGCAGAACTGAACAATAGGGAGTCATACAAAACATTTTTGATAGGAAACCAGTGATAGTGTCACTGTGTGAAGAGAGAAGCGAACGCTGACATTATTGATAGAGGAGGCTGATGAAGTTCGGACAATTTAAAACCAAATGTCACTGGAGATTTATGGGTATCTATAAATGAAGTTGCATGATGATCTTATTCGGAAAATTACTGGATTTTAGCATAACTCCTCTAAACAAGATGACAGCACTTCGAAAGGCAATTTGAGACAAGTTTCTGACCCTATCAACTTAAATGTAAAAGCTGAAGACGCTCAAAAGCACATTCACCAAAAGAAACTAAAATTTTGGTCTGCCTTTCTAATACCGAACCCTCAACGTTGAAAAGGCTGATTTGTAGTAAGAAGTCCTCATACTCGGGAAAACGAATATTTCGTGTCTAACTTTTTATGGCTGAAAATATGGGGGGAATCTTCATGGACAATCTTTTGCCTAATTTTAGGTTGTTCGTTTCAATCAATTCAATGAAATATACGTCATAAGTGTGAACGTTTAAACCACCGGTAGAACGTTTATGATCCCAATACTCGACATTTGGCAAACATTCGTGATATCCATTTCTGTACGAACCCTGAGGCATATATAAATTTTGTGCTCCCCTACCATAGAAGCGTCTTAAAAGTTCAGACATGATATCAACACATATTATTCCAATATTTGAAATTCAAAACAAAGGAAGTTTCTTAGTAATATTTGCTCCGGGTCATGTTAACCTTCTAAAGCGTAGCCCACGTCTACTTTCAGAAATAACTGTCAGATTCATCAGGAGTATTTCAGCCAAATGACTAGACGACACGCTCTTAAGACTGTTGAATACCTTGCATTATTCATTAATATCAATGGACGATTGAGAAGCAATCAGTCTATTGACCATAGTGAGTTACAGAAATATCGGATAAAAGACTTGTCATTGTAGAAGTTTGTGACCTCGATATTTACTTTCATAAACTAGTCTAAAGCGTGACTCGAATAATGGAATTAACAGAAGAAAATTGCAAAATTAGAACAAGGTTATTATTGGGAAAATTAATGGGATTCGGATTCACTAGGTTGCTTTTTTGTGGTGACATAAGAACATTAGCGCTAAAATATTATGTCGGAGCCCTTCGGAGTTCAGAAAGTCACCTTTTTCAACCTTTCTCAGGCTCTAATCTGTCAGTAAAGGACTGAAAACCAGAGCCTGCCACTTCAGTTTTCAGAGGGAGACAGGGAAAACTGTAGCTGTCACAGGCCTTTAGCTTTATTCCCAGCGCTCTCAGAGTGTTGTAACGCTTGGTAGAGGACCAGATAGGAAATCCACGAAAAGTCAAAGACGGTTTCAAGAAGCAGGAAGGGAAGACCGTGCATCACAAGCGTCCCATCAGGATGGGAAAACTGGACAGACTGCAGAGATCAGTGGGATGTTGTATAAGCATAGTTACTGAACTATGTCAAGGCATTCGCACAATACCAAATTCTGTTCTGTCGGTCAGAAATGAGGACATAGCACCCAACGACTAACTCGTTTCATAGTTCAGTGACCACCCACGAGTCTGAACATTCTACACTAAAGTTGGCAGCGTAAGTTGAAACTAAGAAGAGTTTATGTTTAGAACTAATAGTCAACAACGACCTTTCAGTAAATCTCATTTCTCCACTTCGCCTCCTGACTGCCAAAACCATACGATGGAGAATTCGATTTATAATTGGCTCACATGACTATTGCAGGATATAGGCATGGCTTCAAAATCCTTTTTTAAAGTGTCACACCATGCAATTTCGTGTTACAGGGGAGCATCAGGCCGACTAGTTCCTCTGGGTTTATCACCTTTCCAGGACCTCAAAAACAGAGAATTTAAAGCCTACCACTGTCAAGAGCCCGTACTCTAGTGACTGCTACCATGGTGATGTAACAGAACCTTACGTTACTCTACATTATCCATATGCAACCGGGTACGCCAACACGTAAGCTTCTTCTGACACTATTCAAGAATTACAACCCCCACATCTAGGATGCAATAACATAATTTCACCCACACGATACAAACGGAATATAAATCTCTTGAAACAAGTCAGTTAATGGTTAAGGAATGAACTTTATGAAGTTCGACTACGTCCGCCAGTTTTTTACGTGATAGGTTGAATGATAGTATGATGTGATTTGATAAGTGGTATTAAACCGTTACAGGAGAGCTGAAGATACTTGACAGATTTAAACCTTTATATTTAGTATTGATGATTTCACTGTTTTGGGACGCATTTTTTTAATCAGCCTCTGAACTTGTCTGTTTATATCATTGTTTTCAAACATTTCGGCTTGGTATTTGAGAGGCTTTGATACGGGAACTCACAAAATTGAACGTTTCTTTTGCAATTGTTGGAACGACCTTTGAGTCGACTATTTGTAAATTGCGAATAAGCTTTGGTACCTAAATTAGAGCCTTGTTCTATCGTTAGTTTGGGTTCGTAATTTGCAAATGGATCGATATACCGTACTTCAGGAACGGGAGTGAGCAAAAAATTGAACGTAGCAAAACGTATTTGTCTTGGCCCTGTCACCTCTTAGTTAGTTACTCCTGCCCGAAAATCGAAATATGTTGACCTATCGGGATATGAGAAAAGCCTCGCAAAGAGAGTATGACTAGACAATAAAGAACGCAGAGTGAACGAAATCGCTACGGCTCATTTAGTGATTTTCATGTGTGTTCAGGGATTTTGATGTCGGCAGTGTGGGCGGACTCGTTATTGCCCACACATGTAGTGCAGATGGACACTTTACTGTCTATACTTTCCTATTACTTTAGGAAGCTATCATAGAATGCGCAAACAAGTTCATAAATCTCGTGAGTATATATAGATATAAAACTCTTGGCGCGCAAGTACACATCACATTCATACAAGACTCATAGTCCGAAACCCATACATTCTATCGGATACACATAAACATGTGTTCACCCCCGAACCGTAGTCCAGCAGCATCCACCATCCAATGAATATCACATACTCAAATGATTATGGAAATTAGTCGTTACAGACGACATGTTCACTTCAAGATCATATCATGATCGGTTTTAGCGTTGACTACTGTGCACTCGTTACGACACAATTCGAGGATTATGCTCTGTCCCACCATTACAAACGTTAGGGGTCATTCCAGACAGGACCTATTCTGACATCAAGATGAGCTTTTTCTCTAGTACCACAATCACTCAATCCATATTTTATCTCTCTCCCTTATTAATCTTAATTAGGATAGAGTGAATGATAATCTTTATCATCACCGGTTTAAAAGAGAAAGTGGCCAATCCAGTCTTTGCTTTACCTCTTGTGTTAACTTATGGCGAAAAATTCACCCGCTATCCGTAGAGAACTACACGAGATTGCAAATCCAACTTTCCCCCTAATAATATATTACCCATACTTGAAATTAAGGATCTCCCACAAATTCCACGGGTCGAAAAGATAACAAGAGATTCTGATACAGTTGTAATTTTATTCGCTTCAAAACACCGGGGTATACTCACACATCTTACTTTGCGTCCGCTTTAAATTTAATCGTCTTCCCAGCTAACTCAGCTGCAGCCCACTTAGTGGACAGCTTCAAGTGGATGCTCAACAGCAACGTACATCGCGAAGGCTTATCGTTCGCCTACAATTGCCGTACTTGATATGTTCTCTATCATAACCGCAACAGTTGTCATCAGAAAAATAACTAAAAGAGTTCCAATCTGTTTATTCGCTGGATTATGGTTTGCTTTCGTACTTATGCCACCAATAATAAAGGACCTAATCTCAAAATTGTAGGTTTGTCATGATGTGACTTCATAATCTAAAAGATCTTACATTGAAGTCACATTATTCTCTCAATGACTTGTCCTACCACTAC